CCCTTTGAATTTAAGGCAATGTCGGTATAATGACACGTCGTATTTTTTAACTCGAGTTTTAAATATAGAGTGAAGTATTTTCGTGGAGAGTCGAATGCAAATGAATGGAGTAGTTGACGCATTGCGGACTCGGCACAAATTATTGGTGCAATAAACAACAGTCATTTTTCAAAGGATTATTCCCTTTGACAATCGATGATACGAGTTGAATAAATAGAATGGAAAAATTATTATCATCCAATATAAATTAGAGAGCATTTCATTTTATTTCTTATTCGCTCTTTGGTATTTATTGAAATTGAAATTTATTGGTATTTTCCTCTCTGTTATGCATTCATTAGAATTCTCAGACTTTATTCGAATGTGATTATAAATTGGAATGAACTCATGGATTTCTTCTTCGTACTATGATAATCTTTACATTTTGAAACACCAGGTCATTGATAAGGGGAAATATCTGTTGAAATAAAATTAAGAGATAGAATTCTGAAGAGTCTAGAGCGGAATTTCGTCGAGTGATCATCGACTTTAACGGATTTGACGGAAAAATTGAATTGAACAATTGAATAATGAAGTTTTTTATTGCTGTCGGATTTTTTCTGTGTCTCCTACAGCTGTCGACTCAAAAATCAAGATTCGGTGAGACCTCAAGACATTTAATCATTATTTTTCTCTGTGTGGAAAGTTCCAACAGAAACTCAACGGAATTTTCAGAGATTACGCTAGATTTCTCTAGTAATTTCGAGTGATTATATTTAATTACGTTAATATCACTTTGTTTATTAATTCTTTCGTCACAGAGGGAAATTGCGACAATCTGAAAGAGCAAATAGCACCTTACGTAAATGGATGTAACCAAATCACTTGCGATGGAACACCTTTCGCCCGTATTTCGCCGTAAGTCCGTCAAAATTAATTTTCCTTGTCAATCGTTAATAATTCGGAATTGAGAGGAGATACCAATTTTTTTATAAACACCTTTTTTGTAGCTCTTATCGTTCTCTACAAAAAATGTCAATACAGAAAATTCGGTATGTGCCCTCGATATCGTCTAAAAACTGTCCGAAAAAATTCACTTCTAGTTTAGATTAAAATTTAATCAATAACTTGAAAAATTGATCATTCGGTTGGATAAATTTCAGATGCGGTCTCGTCAGACCTCAATGTGGCCCCGGAAAAACTTTCGTCGGAACGAAATTCGATCATGAAAAGGAATATCCCGAATGCTGTGTCCAGATACTCTGCGAATAAATCTGTCAATTGACTGTTAATTAATCAAATTCCCACAACTGTTACTTTTGCTCGAACCAATTCTATTAATTATTAAAAAATAAAATTATCACAAAAAAAAAATTTGGAATTACCCCAAAAACATTCACATCAAATTCCCCTACTCCTGTACATTTAATTGTTATTATTAATTCCGTTAATTATTTTAATTCCCTCCACGATCTTGTGACATTGACACATACCTCGATAACCCCCGCTGTTCGAAAATAGATGATAAGAGACAATTCGTAAGACTTTCTAATCGTCGATAGTAATTTATAATTTTTTAATACAAAATCTCTTTTTATTTAAAAAAAAATGGATTGCAGTGAGAAAAAATGGCATTTTGGGATTCCAGAAATTGAATTTCCCACATAAATCTTTTAGTTCAGGAGCTGATAGATTTATCTTTTTCATGATAAATCATCATTCGGATGATGGGGAGAGGTCATTGGTAATCGATTGAAGTGATCAATCGAGGATCAACTATCATTAATTTATCGATAGCCTTTCAGTTGGAACACAAAGTTTAGCCTGTGAATATCGAGGGACTAGAACGAGCCATGAAAGGAATTGTGATAATTACTCTGTTATTGTGCATGACTCGCCTGTCAACACAAATACCGAGAATCTGTAAGATAATATTTACAAAATCACCACTGAGTTTCAAAAGATTTCACTTGAGTCTTTGAAATTAAATCAATTGGATTTCTACACTGCATGATAAATCCATAAAGATGAATTCATGTATCAATTTTAATTTATTAAAAAATTAATGTCATTTCAAACATTTGGGGAATCAATTTAAATAATTCAATTCAAGTAAAATCAATTTCAATTTCAAATAACTCATTGAGTGAATGATTAATGAAAATTCAGATTATTTTTTGCGGAGTTAATTCACGTTTGGAGTGAATTATATTATTGTTGTCTTGATAATCATTCCAAATGTCTGTCATTAAGGTTTTTTTCGTAGGGGGAGATTGTCGTAATGCCACACAATTCCTGGAGCCATACGTAAACAGCTGTGTTGATATCCGATGCGATGGATCACGTCGTGCTTCAATAACTCGGTAATTATCTCTAATTTCCTTTAATTACTTTAATGATAATTAATGGCAATCGATCTGTCATTGCAGATGCACCCAAGTCGCGCCGATCTGCGGACCGCACAGAAATTTCGTTGTCATGAGATTCGATGACGAGAAAGAATTCCCCGACTGCTGCGTGGAAATTATTTGTGAATAATTGTAATCACTGAATCATCAATAAAACAATTATCCATCTTTATTGCAATTTCTACATGAATAAATAATCCCATATTTCTTTTTTATGTTCCAATTTTATTTCCCGTATTTACGGAAGTATTCAATTATAATTCTATAGATCAATCAATGTTTTAATTCCAATTACAATTTCTAATTGACAATTGCGTTAATTGGAGTGGAATAAAAAATTATTGACAAATATATTTGGGACAACAATCGGGATAAACTTTTGAGTCGTCTTGTGGAATTGAAGTGGCTACCATTGGAGGTGAACAATTAACAATTCCGATTTGCGGACAGCTGTGGGAAAAAATTGATATTGTTATTGACGCATACCAATCAATAATTAGATCATGAAGAATTACCCAAGTTTGTGGAACCCATCGCCATCGCACGTTATAGAAACGCAGCCATTGCTTTCACCTGATATATCAGTATTACTGCAGTCCCCCTCTATTAAAAAATATAATAATATAATATAACAAATTACAAGATAATCATCGATCAAGTCTTACGGATTTGCGCCATTTGGAGAGACGGATGCAATAAACACACGAGAACACTGAGAATAATTACAATTTTCATTGTGATAATCTCTTTTGAGAACTGATGTTCGATGCTGCGAAATTTCTTCTGAACTAGACGGCATGTGGTTTTATTATCGCATTTATATATGCCCTCAGTCGATTAAAAATCGGAATCAATGATGACCTACTGTGCATTTTCAGAGTTTTGTGTTTTCAATTGATAATGTCCTTCGTCGGTTGATTATCGGAAAAATTGGGGGACGTCTCTTTTCAGAAAACTGAACTTTACGTTAGTCACAGATAAATATATCTGTTCAATAATCTTCGGTCGGATGGTATAATAAATATTGAATTACGGAATAAGTATCTTTCCACTCATAAATCAGATCTAAATATTGTAAACAGAATTCATCGGTTTTTGCCATAATATTTACAGCGAATGACACATTTTTTATAATCTTCCTGCAGTGATGTAATTCGGTTATTCAATATTGAAAATAGTGAAAATTCCCGAGATAATTACGTTAATTCATTGAAGTAATTAATCTGTTTTATGAAGCGAATGAAGAATCAGCGAATTTTCGCTGACTATATATGAAAATCAGAAGTCAGGATGACCCGAGGCGATTCTTTTCTCCGGTGTAACTCAATTTCGAAGATAAAATTGAATTGTCTCGTTGAGTAAACACCGAAAAGTCGCTCGAAGAGAAATAAAATAAAACTTTGAGAAACTTTAACTTTGAACTTAAAGTCCAGTGATCACTTGGCAGTCAGTATTCCGGTCGTCATGGGAAACCACCAATATCATTACTATTTGGCGATCGTCCGCATCCCCGTAGATCACCCCCCCTTTCCCCCGAATTGTACGTGATCCGAGTGTCCAATTTTGGAAACTATGTGCACCAACAGTTATTCCACACTTCGAGGATCGATTTCTAACCACCGAACTAATCTTGGAATTTAACAATTTTTCTCGCTCCGGATGCGTCTGACGGACTTCAATCAAGCGAGTCCTTGCGGGAACCTTGACCTCATCTCCTGGAGCTCGACGAACTCGTCAGGATTGATCGAGAGTCATTTTATTCATTTATTACTTGGTTACCGATATTTATAAAATTCTATCAGATAAAAAATGAAATTGGAAAGAAAATTGATTAATTAATGACGAGATTATCAATCTCAATTTTCTTCTATGATGTAAATTAAAATATATTAATTAATTACGGGATTTCTATAAAAATTGAGATGGGGGTGGAGAATCTGTTGGAGTCGATCTGTAATTCCACAGCAATATATTTCATCAAGCAAACATGATACATCTGAAATGAACTCATCAATATGATTCAAATGAATCATCCTTCGAGGGCCCTATCATAAATTTCTAATGATTAAGCATCATTTCACAAAGGCTCGATGAAACATTGATGACTCGCCCGCGCCAAAATCAACATCCATCACAGAAATCAGTCCCGGCATTGATGCGTTCTCAATAAATGTTCCATTCATTACCTTTGATGACTCGTTTTCAGTAATTACTAAATCATCAAATGACGGAATTGAAAGGTCCACTGGATGTTCCCGAATTTCGCGATCGATTCAAAATAGAAATCCACGTGCTGTCCGCGAAAAAAAATTTCGAGTCAAATTCATTGGGAAAAGGGACTGTTTCATTTTTATTAACAATTGATTGTCTATCTATTAATAATAATAATAAATAAATCCCTCAACCCCAGGGAAAATACCGAAACAAAAATTATTCTGCCTTTATCAATTTTTTTGTCGATCGCAAAACCGCATGAATGTACAATCGAAAATAATATTTATTAAATATTAACTCCGGTATGAAATTAAAAAATTGTAACTCAATTTTGAATTTACCGCGCTGAATGTCATGCCTTGAAGATGGCGTCGCAGTCATCGAGCTGTCAGGGATTGGTCGAGATAACGACTTTTGTCAAACTAGGTCATTATCGAGTGTTAGCAAATGAGGAAAAATATTCACGTGAAATAAAAAAACAAGTGAATTTACTAATAGATTAGTGAAACCAATAAGTCAACTGTCACAATGACGAGTGTCAGTGAAACGAGTTCGTTGCCAAAGACTAAAAAACCATCAGGTAAATTTCCAAATGCTCACGTAACCTCACGTATTCACCCAAAACAATTACTTCATTATCAGAAATTAAATTTCATCCTCAGAACAATTGAACTCGAAATTTTTAAAAATCCTCCATTACTTCTTGTTTTTCTTGCTTTTCTTTTTCTTCTTCTTCTTCTTTTCAATTGACTCTTGTGTCACGATTGTAAACATTGACAGCTCACCTTGAAACCATTGATTTACATTTTTGTGGGACTAAATCCGTCGCAATTTCACGATGGAAGGAATTAAACGAGAACAGATTTCGTAGAAATCGTAAGAAAAATATCACCAGATAATGATGACTCAATTTATCTAATGTAAATAAATCTATATCATCCCAATACTCTTTTCGATCCAATTCCAGACCCTTCCCCCAGAAAATCCTTCCACTCCAATAAAATGGATACATTTATTTAGATAAAACAAACCAATTTATTCTGTTCAAGCATTTCATTTTTCATTCGTCCTATTCACTCGGAATTAATTAATCACTTAATGGCAATGAAAATTAAATATCTCTTTCGAGAAAGTACGAAAAATTCAAATGAATTGTCTCCTGTGATTGGGATTTCCCATTTTTCCGGATCGAATGTTATTAATTTATTGTTGTTATTATGATTATTAGACAGTGCCTTCAAACAACAACGTCTTCCCGCATGGCAGCCAATCCTGACAGCAGGAACAGTTCTCCCCACATTTTTTGTTATTGGAATAGCCTTCATCCCCGCAGGAATCGGTCTGTTGTACTTCTCCGAGGAAGTGAGAGAGTATTCCGTGGATTATACAAACTGCAAGTCCATCCAGGATAATCGAAAGTGCTCGGAGGTGATTCTGAATAAACCGGGAAGCATCTGCCAGTGCAACGTGGATTTTCGCCTCGTCGAGGACTTCAAAGCGGACGTCTACATGTACTACGGCCTAACGAACTTCTACCAAAACCACAGACGATACGTCAAATCGAGGGATGACAATCAGCTGTTGGGACGACTGAGTGATGAAGTGTCGAGTGACTGCGGTCCCTTCGCATACTCCGAGGGAAACGATTCAAAACCCGTTGCACCATGTGGAGCAATTGCCAATTCCCTCTTCAGCGATGAGTTGAGTCTTTACTCGAAGGAATTGAAGAAGGATATTCCCCTCATCAAGACGGGCATTGCCTGGCCCTCAGATAAGAATATTAAATTCAAAAATCCACCTGGGGACCTCAAGAAGGCCTTCGAGGGATTCGCCAAACCCAAAAATTGGACTAAACACGTGTGGGAACTCGATGAGGAAGATCCCAGCAACAATGGCTTTCAGAATGAGGATTTAATCGTCTGGATGAGAACTGCTGCTCTTCCAACCTTCAGAAAACTCTACAGGAGGATCAATCACACGGAACCTGTATTCAAAGGACTCATCAAAGGAGATTACGTCCTCAGGGTTAATTACTGTGAGTTTTTTTTTCTGTCACTTGATTTCTTTGAATTACAATTGAAATTTATTGCAGCCTATCAAGTCTCCTCGTTCGAGGGCAGCAAACGGATGATCCTGAGCACGACTTCCCTCCTAGGAGGCAAAAATCCTTTCCTGGGGATTGCCTATATCGTCGTAGGATGTGTCTGCCTCGTTCTAGGGGTTGCACTATTGATAATTCATATTAAATGTTCGAAGAGGTGAGGAAATTGGCAATTCAAATCGGCGAATGATTTAATTGTTCATCGACTTTTTGTTTCAGCACGAATGAGATGATTAATGTAAATCAACACACGCCTTATCAATAATCAGAGGAAGGAATTAATCCAGCAGGATTTTAGCACGAGTTCATATTCTCGAAAACTCAGTGAAAGTCACGAGTGTTTTTTTCATAAAAATGCACATGGGACGTTAGATTAATATAGTTCCCCGCGAAGAACCCTCGGTAATTTATTTATTATCCACAGAAATTACTCTGGTTTGATTTTCTAATGGAAAATTTCCAATGACGATTCATTTTCTCAAATTGATCAAATATTCGTTACAATTCTGTTGCAAAGTGATAAAACTAGATAATTTACAGTCTTATTAATCGATTTCGCTTTTGAGAATTTAGTCAGCTACAAAAAAGTCCTTCGGGTGCTTCACCTCAAGTTAATAGTTTTCAAGGTAAATTATTATAAATACGAAATTCGGTTTATCTGATTTTATCACTTCGCTACTCACTTTATCAGTTGCCTAATTCGTTTTGTTTTATTATCCAGTATTAGTTTATCTTCTGTTCTCACATATTTACTCTAAGACGATACAAATGCATTTGACATGCGTTATTTTAACTGTGAAAGGTACGAATTAATAAAAAATGAATGAAAAACTCCAGTGACTTCTGTTTTAGGTAGAAAAATGTTATATTCCTCTCATCAAGATAATCCGTGTATTTACACTATTACTCCTAAATGCATTAATTAAAATATTAACGATCTAATCGGCACTCCAAGGGATAGATTCCCTCAATGAACACTCACAATATCCTAAAAAATATACAAACACTTTATTTTAAATTCATCTCGTACACTAGATTTCCATTGGGGAGTGAAAAAGTGGGTGAAAATTTTGGGAATAATTGTACGAAATAATCAGGGGAGGATTCTTCCTAATATAACGAAAAAATATAATAGAAATGAATAATGATCATCAGGAATTGATTCTGATGAGTGGAACGAGAAAAATAAACGAACAGAAATGATATTTAAATATTTAGAGTCCCTCGGTACCCGAGACAATCAACTTTGAACAGTCCAGTGAGGATGGCGAAAACACATCTCCTCTCACATAACTTCCATACTGTTTTGAGTGTTTTCACTAAAGCCTAGTTTTGAGGATGATGCTTCCTGGGTGCTCTCCTCCATCGTGTGATCCTCCAGGGCGTCTTGGGTGCCGTTCGTTGTCGAGCCAACACCGTCGTCCCAGTTTATCTTGAATCTAGTGACTCTGGGTTTGTCACCGAGAATATTTCGCTGGACTTTGTCGAATTGTGGCTGGGCTGGGGGATTTTCACGTAACTCTGGGTCTGTGTACTCGTTGTTTATGAAGTAACCGACTCTCACGAACTCGTTTCCTCGGTAGGAACACGTTAGGAGAACTACTGTCACTCCTAGGGCGTCGTTCACCGGGATACGACTGACGTCTGGGGGGTCAGCCTAAAAAAAAAAAACATTTTTATTGAATTACAAAAGTGATGAATTGAAGAATTATCTGTTAATTCGGAATTCGTATTTGTTGAATTTTGAAATCTCTTAGAATTTTAATTTCCCTTTATGGTAGAATAATATTTACAAACACTCAATTAATCGATGCTGAAAAATCCATTCGAAGAAGTTCTCAATAACAACTCGAACCCCAGCGCTTTCTAATGACTTTTAATCATCGAACTTACCTGGAACACAAACATGTGTCGTCCCTCTGGAATGGGTCCCACGTAGATGGTGTCCAGGATCTGATCAAACTCTTCAGACTCTGCACTCCCCACATAAATCATCTTCCACTCAAGATCTAAATAAATTAACACATTTTACACTCATAACCAAGATCAAGATTTCGAAAAAAAACCATTAAAAAAATTAATTCAATTGATCTAAAACTAATAGACGAATACAAAGAAAACTCCAAAAAATTCCCCAAAGAAATTCCCTGCACGAAAAAAATGCTGCGAAGCAGAAAAAAACAGCAAGATAGATCCCGAATGATTGAAAAATTTAATTGCCTTAGTTTTCATGATGCGAAATTAATTAAACCGAGTCCAAAGTCCCCTAACCTCTGAGAAACCCTCCCCTAGCTCTCAGGACGCCCCTAGGAATTACCTTCTTTGAGTTCCTCGATACACTCGAAAGTCACCTCAAACTGGAAAGGATTGAGAAAAGGCGATGGATTGTCGAGGACCGCGACATTGGCCAGCTGTACCTTAGCCATTTCTCAAAAAATCCTGGCACTTCTCCAAAATAAAAAAAAAAATCTCTCAAACACCTCCAAAGCCCAGAGAACCCACTCTGGCAGTTCCTGGAGAGAAATCCTTGAAAAACAATAACTTTGAACAATGCCCCAAGTAAATCTACTTCAGATGATACAGATGAGGTAAAGCACAATGGATCCGAGATGAACGAATGACCGAAAACCAACGAAAACTGGTGGCTTTGGCGGGCTGAACACATCGGCTGGGCGGCAAATGTATTCGTGACATCCCGCTAAATTCCACGAACGAAAAATTCCACAAGAGCCCCAGACCCCTAGATCCCTTACCTTAAAATCCCCTGACATCTCTCTTCAGGATTGAACATCACTTTCCCTCAGTCGACAAGCGAAATTCCCAGGAGTTTCTCCAGCACATCCCTGGAAATTCCATTCCCATCCTCTTTGAGGGTTTCAGGAAATTCTAGGGGTCATGGGATACTTAGGAAGCCACTTGAAATCCCTGGAAATCACTGGAAATCACTGGAAATCACTGAAAACTCCCTAGCGAAGTCAGGGAAGCGTCAGGGGAGGCCGAGGAGATTCAGAAAATTCCCTGGTTTCCGGTGAAATGTCACAGATGTCTCCACGAGTAAATTTTTGAGATCCTGGCATTTTTGAAATGGCGGAGGTACTTCTTGCTGTTTATGGAAATTGGAAAAATCAAGCCGACCACGCCATGAGGTGCATTTCCCGCCAACGAGGGTAACACCTACGTGATGATTTTCGGCGGCAAACAATCGTGAACAGATCCTCGGGATGTTCTCACGTTGGTGATGAGATTCGTTGGTTATTGGGAGAAATTGTGGATTTTTCTGTGTGAGTTCAAGTGAGTTCCAGCCAACCCTCTGGCTTTTCATTCAGTCTTCAGGTGATTATCGTCAACTTGGATTTTGTTTTGTTTTTGGGGGATCCAAGGGAAAAAATGCTGAGTGTGACGACGGCGACGGTTCACAGGGCTATGTGCCCTGGAACACCTCAGAATCCTGGATCAGGTGAGTTGTTTGGGTGTTTTTTTTTAAGACAGTTGAAGGGGATTGTGGCGTGATTTCCTGGGGGGATATCTCTGGGGGTCTGTCCAGATGCTTCAGATGTTCCAGGTACTCTTGATGCTCTCGCGGATGATTTCAGATGAAATAATACCGATTTGTGCATTTATTCAAGAAATGTAAGGATCAACTCATTTCCCCAATTTTTGGGAATTTGATGCGTTCACTTAATATCGATCGATTTCGACAACTATCCATTTTACGGGGAAATGTTATACGACCTTTTTCGTGGGAAATTTAATGAGCTAAAAAAAAGTCCTCTACGGTTTTTATCTTGAATTTATAGTTTCCGAGATAAATAGATAATTAATGAGGTGTTTGGTGAAAACTTTGAATTAACTATTATATTTTGCAATATTGTTGCAGATCGAAAGGAGAGATCTTGGAGTTGCGACTACGATGGAATCTCAAAGCGCCGGAGAGCGTCATCATCAAGAAAAAATCTGTCCCTTCATCTGAGTGATCCCTTGGAACTAAACATTGAGGTCTCGAGTCACCCAATTTTCCCGAAGAGAACTCCAAAGTCCAAGATCCCCACCCCCAAGGTCCAATCCTGTTCTATCAACACTTCAAAGTCTCGAAAACATTCTGTGGCTGTATTAAAAGAGGAAATCACTCCCTCACACAGTCTCTGCTTCAATCCCCTGTACAAAGAGGCGTCACGAAAAGCAGAAGAGATCTCAAATCCCTCGAAACGCCCTGATGACGAGATTTCCCAGGCTGCCCCATTGACCGAATCCCCAGATATTCCCCCCGAGGAAGACGTTAATAAAGAACCCGAAGAGAAACAAAATGAAGAAAAAATTCCAACCGAGGAAATTACCGAAGCAACTGATGCGAATCCCTCGCCAAAGGACGAGCCCCTCCTCAGCAGCTCGCCCCACCCTGCAACAGGTGGAAAACGCAAACGAGAATCAGAATCTCGTCTGTCTCTAGCCCTGAAGCTCCTGAAATCGACTGACGACGATGCAAATTACTCTCAACGTAGACCAGACCTGGACTCAACCGTGGACGAGCCAGAGGACAAGACAGTGATACCCCAGCCGACCCCAGAGGACGTCGTGGATCCCCAGCTGCACGATGACAACTGGAACACTGAAGACAACTGGAATAAACTCCAGCAGGAGCAGCAGTGGGAATACAATCAGCAGGACAACTGGGTGATACCTTACGACGACCATCAGGAGATCTGGCAGAATTCCCAGTCGAATAATTGGACTAATTGGGATGATGGAAGTGCTCCAACTCCTGCAGACGGTGTCTTCGAGCAGGTACACCCTGAGGAGCCATACTACATGACAGGTTTTCCAAATCCACCAGCTGAAAATCGTTGCTGGCTCAATGCCACTCTCCAGACAATATTTGCCTTACCCCTGTTGGATCACCTGGGTAATCTAGACATGACCAAGTGCTCGAAACTCACTAAAACCCTGATGGCCATTCAGCTATTCTGGAAGAAGGGACCAGCTGACAAGGACATGACGTATCAAACAGTCGCGCGATTTAAATCCCAACTTGATATCCTGGACGACTCGTACTCGTCCTATCGTCAGCAGGACGTCTCTGAGTTCCTGATGAAACTCCTGAATCACGTGAAGACCGACTGCGAGAAAATTATCAAAGAGATGAAGAGCTCAGAGCAAGAAGTGGAGACTGAGAACGTACCTGAGGCCTCGAGTGTTGTCAAGCACCAGAGATCACCTCAGACGTCGACAAAACGATCTCCTCTCACCCAGATCTCCCCATTCAAGAGTAGAAACTCTAGTGAAGCAATAGAGGGCTCTTTGCCCAGCCCAAAGCCCCAGGAGTCACAGGAGCTCGAGGAGTCGATTCAGAATCCCATCGACGAGTTCTTCCTTCTTCCTATGATGGAGCACTACGTCTGCCAGAACTGCAGGAAACATCGACAGAGGAATATCGATAATATGATGCTCTATGTCGATCTGCCTGATAACGGGAGTGATCCCATCGAACTCGCTGCTGCCATCAGCAAAACCCTTGAGCCTGAGGACAGAACTCTCACCTGTGGCAAGTGCAAGTGCGAGGAGCACAAGCTCTACACGACATTCAGAAAATCACCGAATGTTCTCATTGTTCAGATAAATCGGTATGGAATGAGTGATGGATTTGTGGCGAAGATGAACTCGATCGTTCATATTCCTGAGGAATTGGAGATCAGCAGTGAGGAAAGTATCAATGAAGAGAAATCACCACAGAAATTTGTACCGATCTGCACTATTGCACATGTGGGAAGTGCTATGGATTGTGGACACTACACGAGTTATGTGAAGCATGGGGACCAGTGGTTTTATTATAATGACATGAGTGTCACTCCGATGTCCACCAGTGAAGCCCTGACTGCTGCCCAAACCACTGCCTATCTCGTATTTTTTGTCAATGTTGATATTCTCAACAAGTCATCGAACACTGGAGATGTCACGACTGATGAAGTGTCACGATAACATTTTTTGTTTTTGTTTTTTTTTTCTTCTTTTTTGATGATTGATCATCTCAATTTTGCAATTTATACTGGTCCCCTGGACTTCCTGGACTTTAGGATTCAATTGAATTGCGTCCTAAGGACGATTATCTGCACTTGAAGGTGTACGCACTTTATGTTTTGTGTCTACGCAATTATTCGGGGGGGGAGACGCCGTTTGTATTTTCAAAACGCTTTGGCATTTAATTATTTAGGGATACGTGTATATATTTTCTATTGGAAAACCGAGGATTTTTAAGGATTAGTGTTCTCAGAGAGTCATTGTATTTTTCTGTGTGTAATTAAAGAAGTTTATCGAACATATTTTCAATAAATTATGATATTTCTACATGAATTTGTGGGAGCAGTCGACGTTTTCATTATTTTATTCGTACCCTTTAGCTTTGGATAGAAATGAAATTCAAAAAAACCCTCCACCCCTGGACTTCCGTCCTCAGGGCGGAAAAACCCACGATCCCGATGTTCACCTGCGCAAAACCCTGTGCGCAACTACACCAGTGGATTTCATTGGAAACAAGGGGGCCCTCTCGAATTCTCACACACATAAAAAAAAAAATTTCCCAGTAGAAAAAAGATATTTGTAGTGGAAAAGTTGAATACGTAAGTAAACAACAACTGAACCCTCCCCTCTCGGAAGCCATTGCCCGATCCCGAAAAAAAAAAAATCCGAAAAATCTCCAAATCCGAAGTGACCCCCAAACACCTAAAATTCGTGAATTGTTGTTCCTCCGTGAAATTAAGGTTAAATCCAATGTTCAATCGTCTCTCTCTCCAACCCATCAATTGCTCTAATTCCCTCTCCATTCCCCTAGTCCTCCAATTCACCCCAAGATATTTTTCAAAAAAATTCTCCAGTGAAGTGTAAACCTGTGACATCAGTGCTAAATCCTTGAGAAGGTGAAAGAGAAAAAAAATATATCAGAAACTGTCTTTAGGCTCATCTCGAACATCTCTGATTACCCCATCGAATTACTCCCTACGCTCTTGTCCCTCTGGATTTGGATTTTCCAAGACAGATTATCGTCCCATGGTGATGATAAAAAACGTCAGAAAAATTCCAAAACAACAGGAACAACGTAAATTCTCCGTGCCCCCCACCCCCTCTCCCCCACCCATCTGTATTCACTACAAAGAGACAGAGACAGTGAGAAAACGTGAAGTTATTGAAAATAATCCGAATTTTTGGTATAGTTATTCGAATAATCGAGTTAGCGTTCTGAATTTGTTAATATTCGAGCGGTTGTTTAGTGGTTGAGTAATTGTGGTGGATTGAATCATAGAAGTCTCTCCCCTCTCTCTCCTTCATGTCTCAGGGCATTCCGACGCCATATCCACGATCACGAGTAATTGGATTATCCTGGGGCTTTCCTGGATTTTTAATTTTCATCGAGGAGTGACTGGCACTGGGTGGGGGTTGCATTAGAGGGCTTTTTTTTTTCTTCTCGTTGTTGCGTTCTTCGGAGACTGTAGCGCTCGTACTGTGACGTCTGACGAGGGACTAACCCAACAGCTGTTTCAAGCCCTTCGTTATTTCGGACTTTTGGTGATTTTTTGAAATTTTTTTTTTGGGTTTTGTCGATCTTTGGGCACGGGGGGTTGGAGGTTTCGGGGGTCAGTGTTTCGCGGACTTGGGGGACTCTTTGTCCTCGGAGGTGACAGCTCCTGTCAGAATTGTTGACCACTCGGTTGTGCGTCAGTTTCAGGGGGGGATGGCTCACATTTTTTTTTCTGACCAATTCTCTCAGATTTTTTTTTCGTGGGTTTTTTATAGGTTTTTTATGGTCATTTGGGGTGGAATATGTGGGAGGGAGAATGATCGGTGGGTTCAGTGGTTTATAGCTCGTGGGGGATGAGAATGTTTGGGGGTTTGAGGGGGGTTTGAGGGGTGAGAGGATTTCTTGGAAATGAATAAAAATTGAGATGATTTTACTCAGGTGTTTTCGAGATATTGAGGATTCATGACGCGATTTTGTACCTTTGAATTTTTTGGTTGTCCAATTTTGACAGATGATGTGATTTTTGTTTCAGACAAATACACAGCGTGACTCGTTATTTCGGTCGAGGTGGTGCAAAGGTTCCCGAGACATTAGGATTTAAACTGGTGATTGGATAAATCGAAAGAGTGAGTGACTTGACGAGTTTCGCTGGTGAATTTTTACAATTCTGTTTGACGATTGTTTTCAAGATTGTGAAACAGTGGAGACGAGGATCTGAGGGATACCGAATTTATCAGTAAATCAAGGAGTTTGTTGAGAGGGTGACGAGGAAATTGACTGGAGAGTGATAATGTCTGTATTGAATCAAAGTGGTGAGGATGCTGTGGAGTGTCCACTGTGTATGGAGCCCCTGGAAGTGGATGATCTTAATTTTTTTCCATGCACATGTGGATATCAGATATGCAGGTTTTGTTGGCACAGAATTCGGACAGATGAGAATGGCCTGTGTCCTGCCTGCAGGAAGGCCTATTCGGAAAACCCCGCCGACTTTAAGCCCCTGTCCAAGGAGGAAATATCGAGGTTTTTATCTTTATCAATTTATCCCGAAAACCATCCACTTCACAAAAAAACGACACGCGACTTTTTTGCTGAGGATTAAATTCCTGAGAAAAAATGTTTTTTCATATTTTTTCCTAAAGTCAATAGTTCCTAAGAAATTCAGGATTTAAGGAAACAGTAAAAATTGGAATTATTTGCCTTTTGCATTTCGCTGCGCAAATAAATTATAATAAATTGAGATGAATTGGAAAAATGGATTAACGAGAATTACTTCGACAGGTTGAAGGCTGAAAAAAGGCTGAAGGACCAGCAACGTAAGCAACGGGTAACGGAAAATCGAAAACATCTAGCTAATGTTCGAGTAGTTCAAAAAAATCTTGTGTTCGTTGTCGGTCTCCCCATGCGCCTTGCGGACGCCGATGTAAGTAGATTAGTTGAAAAAAATGGGGCCAATAACATTCATCTTAATTCGTGTTGAATTCAGTGGATAGATACCCCCAAGATAAACACCCCTTGAATCATAATCACTCACAACAAGTATTCCAGGTTCTCAAGAGACACGAGTATTTCGGTAAATTCGGAAAAATACATAAAGTCGTTATTAATCAGAGTACATCGTATGCGGGTTCCCAGGGGCCCAGTGCGTCGGCGTATGTGACTTATCAGGTTTGTGAATTAAACAAAAAATTAAAATATCTGCCTTCGACTCTGCCATATCATGGAAAAAATTTTTTTTTAATCACACTAACTCCAGAATTCCCAAACCAATTGATAAAATTCTCAAAGACAACCAAAAAGCCATTGACCCTTGATAACAAGTGAAACTAATTCCTCAGCGCCAGGAGGATGCCCTGCGTGCGATAGAGGCAGTGAACAACATCCCAGTGGACGGTAGAACGATAAAAACATCCCTGGGAACGACGAAGTACTGTTCCCACTTCATGCGAAATCAGGGATGTCCAAAGCCGGACTGCATGTACCTTCACGACCTGGGGGATCAGGAGGCGTCATTCACGAAGGAGGAGATGCATCAGGGAAAGCACCAGGAGTACGAGCGAAAATTAGTGCAGTCGTTACACGTTTCGGCGTCTCTATCAGTCAATCGAAAACCAACGCCATCACCACCAGTGACAGGCACGACAATTCGTGAAAACGGTGCAGTGACAACATCCCAGACAAAGGAGGCCTGGCCCTCGTTGCAACCTGGCCAAACACCAACACCGACAAATCCTAAAGACACTCCACCCCCAACGCAACCTCCACAGGCCAATGGATCAACCCCTGCCCCTGGGATACCGTCGTCCCAATCAAACAATACTTCACAGCAGAATAATAATAACAAGGGCGAGGGCATTGGTTCAAATTCACGTCGTGGCAAGAGCAACAGCGAGAGCAAAGTCCAGGCAGTGCGAAACAAGCATAAAAATAATCAGAATAAAGAGAAACATGGAACAACTCGTACAACATCGAGATCAGAGTCTAGCTCTAGTGGTCATGGTGTCACAAGTGATAAGCAAATGGAAAAGGACATCAGGTGCTTCGTGGATGATCAGAGCTGTGAGGCTAGTGCCAATGGCAGGTGCATCGATGATCAGGTGAGACAGAGACAGGACAGCGAGTCAACGAGTGTCGAGAAGAGTGTCAGGGATATTAAATTAAATGGTGTTACACGTAATGGTGAGCATTCGGAGAGTGAGAGTGAGCCACAGAGGGAGGGAAGTACACCAGCTAGTACAGCATCAAGTAGTTCTGATCATACCTCTGAGTGTGGCAGCAATGGACCTGAGAGACTCGTTGTTCAGGATGATAACTGCGATACCACTGTTTTAGGTGAGTCTCAATCACTCATGTTTTCTTATTATTTAATTTATTATAAAATTGTATATTTGGAAAAGTAAAACATGTTTATTACCCAAGAGATTATTTAATGTCGAAATAAAAGGAAATCTTAATAAGTGAGAAGTAGAAAGATATATTTTATTTCGACATTAAACACAATAAGTGAGAAACTATATAATTCGAGTCTTGTAGTGTAGAGATGTTTTCAATTCCTGTTTCAGGCACATCACCGATAACGAATACAAGCGCCAGTCTAGCGTCAGTCAGCCAAGCACCGCCTGGTTTGCATCAAATAAATACAAATTCTAATGGACTGCAAACGCAAGTCCACCATCGATCGTTATTTCAAACGGATAATAACAGTTTCTTTAGTTCCAATACGTTTCAAAAAATATCCACTGTCGTGTCAGTGCCCCAGAATTCACAGTCAGCAAACTCCAGTATCGACTGGACAGCCCCAGCACTCTCCTCGATTCCCGATTCTCTGCCCTCGGTCCACTCAACTGAGGATTGGCAGGCAGCATTCGGTTTTGAGCCTGAGAAGCGTACCACAAATCACCAGCTACCCCCAACAAGCCCCACAGCATCACCCAGCGTGCCTTTCAACGCTGACGCCTTCCTAGACGACGAAGACTATCCCGAGCAGTCCTATCAGAAGCTCCGGGACTTTGAGCCCTCACCAATGATAACGACAGCAACACCAGCCTCAAAATTCATGGCCGACTTTCACCAGAATTCTCTGCAGCAGAGGCTCTCACTGCAGGCGCAGCAGAATCAGGAGAATTGCGAGTACATTAAGCAGAATGGTCACAGCATGGAGAAACCAGAGGATCCAAAGGCGGACGATGATCTGGGCTTCGATCCCTTCCACGAGACCCAGAAGGCACTTGCTGAGCTCATGGAGAATGAGATGCAGCTGCAGCAACAGAGACTCATCCAGCAGCAGCAGCAGCAGCAGCAACAGCAGCAACAGCAGAATCATCACAATCATCGTCACAGCCACTACTTTCATCAAACCCAGCTGCACAGGGGCGACGAGACGACAAGAAATCACCAGAATCTTCAGAATCTGCCTCAGCACTTTCCCCAAGTGGCACATCTGCATCTTCATCAGGCACAACAACTCCAGAATATTCAGGTGCTGCAGCAGTCACACAGTTTAATCTCACGTCTTCCACAGGGAATGATTGCCACTGGGAATCAGAGCCCTGCCCAGCCCTCGATGCCTGTTGCCAGTATTGGGCAGAGGTCCAGGCTACCACCACCTGGATTTCCAGGCTCTACGCCCAATCATATGAATTCATTTGGCCTAGGGATACCCAGGGCTGCACCCAATAACTCAGCACCTCAACAGAATTCATATTTACCCAATGGGAATATCATTGCACCACAGGGAATTAACAAGTGCACGAGTGAGGGAGTCTATGGGATCAAGGACTGGTGTGAGATTAATGGACAGCAGGGACCAGGACAGGTGTTCAGTCATCAGATTGGACAGAAGGGCTGGAATAATTTTGGACCTGTTGCTGATTGGACTAGTATTGATCCAGCTATTGTTAGCTCATCGAGACCTGTACCTTTTCAGGGCAACAGCACGTGGCAGTTCTCAAGGATTCATCAAGGGACTCACAATGTTCCACACAGTGCGCAACAGGTGGGTTATCGGAATAATTCGTTGATGGATTTTTTAATGGCATTTTGTGATTGAATCTTCAGGAACAGAGCGCACCGGCTCAGCACTGGGCAATGCAGCCACCTCCTGGATTCGGTGGTCCATCATTGAGTCAGTTGAATGGTCAGCAGTCCAGCACAGCTGCACAACCGCACACTAAACTTATTTCCGCAGGGCCGGAAATCGAGAGTGAGTTTACAGATTTTTTTTTATAATCCCAGGAAATGGATTTTAAAAATTATCCATCGACTCAACTCACTGATTTTTCGTTTTCCAGACTTATAAATTAAATCACGATAGAAAAATGGAATCATGAGATGACCAGATGGCTAGGGATCACGGTACCGAGACGAGTGGATTGAATAACCAGTTGGAAGAAATAACGAAGAAACCATTGAATGACGGGTTCGATGGTATTCTCGACTATTGGCAGCAGGATTTTCCCCCAGAGTCTCCTTCACTCATCCTGCGCCCCCCCCTGATCTAAATTTGTAATAAAATATTTCTTCCACACCGGTGACACAACAAAAAAAAGAAACAATTCTGATAAGAGGAAAAATATTAAATGATTTAATGAAAAATGAGAGAATTTTGGGACCGCTAAACGACTATTAGCGGTATGCGAATAGAATGGGAAAATGAAGAAATACAAAATATGATTATAATTATAATGATAATAATATTAACGATAATAACAATAATAACAATGATAATAATAATAATATTAATTAATAACGGAGCGCGCAATGGCATCGAAGCAATTATTTGGTGATACAACTAATTCATATTCAGTGAATCATTAAATGAGAGGAAATCAGTCATCTAAATGCTTGTTATCCAATTCCATTGGTTCTGGTGTTCAGTAAATTTTGAGAACGGAAATATTCAGGATCGGAATTAAACCACTGCATTTTGCCAATTGACCTGTCAATTTTCCAAATGTGATGATTATGAAAATTTGTCTCATCAGATCTCCATGATTTTGGAAATTATGAGAATCCACAGTAATGTGGATTGAGGGAGGGAATGAATCGATTCAATCCGAGAAAGGCGGCATTTTTTTAAAGATTATTGTCTCGTGACAAAAATAGGAAAGGTAAGTTAATGTGTTATCCCCCCTCGAGATCGAAAATTCCAGAGGAGTCGTCGCAGTCTTCTTCGTCGTCCTCGTCGTCGGGTAGTTCCGAGTCTCCCCAGACGAGTCCAGCTCGGGTGAGACCCCAGAAGGATTTTGGAGTCAAGTCCGATCGCGTTGCTGTGAATTTCCAGCCCTTGTGGTACCCACAGTGCGCACAATTGGCGATTGTCCATGCGTATCTGTAATTTTCACAGAATGAATATCGCAGGGAAAAATCTTGATGGTCTTCCAAATTATTCATGCGAATTGGAGATAAACTGACCCAGGGAACCAACTGCACTCAGTAGACGGTGGATCAGGCCTGAGTACGAGTTCCCGAGCTCGATGGAGTGTCACAGTTTCATGAATAGCCCCAGCAGGATTGCAATACGCACTCTGGATGCCCTCAGTATTCATGGGGAAGACGTCCGCCTGTTTTGCAATAACCGTCCGACAATCCGAACAGACGAACAACTTCTCCTGGAGTTTTGCGAGTAATTTAGCCTCGACCTGAAGCCTCTGAATGGCGCAATCCATCTCCAGGAGTGAAATTTTCACTTTGTCCTTCATTATGAGATTCTGTGCGACCCAGAAGGATAACTCCGTGGGGTCAGAGGGTATGTTGATGCCCCTGGAACGCACGAAACGCAGGTAGTGATGGATTTTCATCGCCAGACGACGGGGATTGTACTGGTGATAGACCCATGCTGGCCACGGTGTCAGTACTGACTCCAGTTTAGCCACTTTGTCCTGATCTTTTGCGTCCTTTTCATTCTTGGGAATTACCCGGAGACGATCCAGACACGCCAGACGGTCTTCGTGGAAGGGCGGACTCAGTTCCGTCTCAGGTAGAATTTTTACGTCTGCGGAAATCCGTCCTGATGACTGCAATTTCAATGTTTCGATTTTAATGAGGGGTTATTACCAAGAGATCAGGAACGATAAACACTTTACCCTTCGCTAAATCGCCATCTTTCTGAGAGTTTTAATATTTATCATCACATTAACAATATTGACTATTTAAATATTAGAAATAATTAGTTGAGATTTTAACGTTCAAATTCTAATTATGAGATGCAATTAATTTTATTCATTTAAATTAATTAAATTAATGTGAGGGTTAATTGGTGCTCACACTTCGTATTCGGAGAATCCTGAACCTCTGCCTGCCTTTGGCTTTGACCCGGACCCCATCGGATCCCGTGTTCTCGGAATATTCGTAAATTTCGGCAGTTGTACCGATGGGAAATCCTCGATCATACCTCAAGCAGGCGACACCAAATGTCCTGTCTTTTTTTATGCATTTCCTCAACATCTCAATCGTTCTGATATCATATTCCATTATCGGTAGTGTCTGTCCTGGGAAGAGAACTACCGATTTTTCCGCGAGAAGCGGCAGATCCACGTAAATTCCGTTGTCCAGGAGAGTTCTGCCTCGTAAAACTTCGAGATCGTTACCTAGATACTGTTTTTATCGAGATTATTAACATCGTCTGGATCTTTCGATGGATTTATCGACTTACTGAGTGCGAAGTGGCGAGAGTCATGTCGAATGTATTTTCAGGGGCTCCAGGGGAGTCTGTAAATACAAAAATTGAACTCTGAACCTTCTTTCTTATTTAAATAAAGAAAAGAACATTGTTGTTCACAAACATTATTTATTTGTCATTATTCTTAATGTTCATGATTGAAATTAACCCCTAAACGAAAAGAGAAGAATAAATTCCTACCTTCGATCTCCTCGACTCCATCATCCCCATCCCCGGGTGCAACCTCGGCATCCATCGTTGCGCGAAAATCAGCAACCAACGATGAAAGCCCCCTTAACCACTGAACAATCACTTTCTCCACAATAATCCCCAAAAACTCCAAAACCTCCCCAGTCCCCAGTCCTCCTGAAAAATAAGTCCCCAACACCTTCAAATCCGTCGAAATCCCTCGAAATCCCAATCTGTTTCGCGCATCCAGAGGTGGGGGTACGAAACAATCTCCAACAATCTGAAAACTCTACTCGATATTTCGACATTGCGATTAATCGATACGACATTATCTCGATACTGTGATATGTCGATATGTCGACCGTTCGACTCGTCCCTAAAACCGAAAAATTGAATTCTCAATGTTCGATCGACAAAGAATTCCGTAAAAACCGATTCGACTAATGAACGACGGGTATTAACGATGAAAACCAATAGAATTCCGGGAACCAAGAGAATTTGTATTTCCGTCGTATCTCCCGCGGATTGGCGGAGGTAAACGGACACGAGCGGAGACCGGCGGAGACTGACGATAACAACCGACAGGCGGGTAGTGGGGATACGTAGAGAGCCGAAATGCGGCGTAAAGTGTCGAACATACGTAAATGAGAGACAGAGGGGACGAAGGACTGTATGTTTCGGATGTAGGAGGCACTTGGGAGGCAGGGAGGGCACGCGAGCGAAGGGGCCAATGCCAGTACCTTCTTCGTCGCCATTGCCAGTGCGTTCTCGCCCTCGCATTCGTGCGCTACAACTCGTGTGCGACGGTTCTTAAATGCTGAGAACGATAACTCGCAATTATTCCAAAAAAACCGTCTAAACAAGAGGCAAAAATCATAAATATCACCACGAAAAATAAGAAAAATCACCCCCAAAACAGCTCACCCACCATAAAGCTCAGCCCCTGTAAACAAGACAAACTCCCCATCACACCGAGTAAATCATTTGTCAGATAATCATTTTGAAAATAATAAGTACCAGGAGCACAGTTGTGGGCCCAACCCCCCCAAATAAATAAAAGTGAGCTCTCTACCGATGCAGCAGCATTGCACCGAGCTCACCCAAAAATTGTTGAACTCGATTGATAAGGAGTACAATGTAAGTAATTTATCAATCAAAACCGGGTTGGGGGGGCTTTTTTTTAAACGACGAATGGGGGTTTGTATATATTTTTTTTCTCGATTATTGGGATGTAATGAATAATCGGTGATACATAACCCCCCCGACTTACGTTCGAAAAGTGTGTGTTTTCACCGACTAAAGCCCGACAATTCCGCCGTCCGTACAGGCAAACGGCTATCGTGCCACTCTCGTTTACTCGTCTCCGTAGCCTCAACTCCATACTATCGTGACATTTGAATTTGTGTTGGTGTTAACGTGCGACCAGTTGGTCACACACACACGTGATTAACGTGGGGAAATTCATTCATGTGCATGATGTTGCGTGGGTGTGTGTTGGGGAACGGGAAGAATGGCGACCACGACGTCGAGATCGAGATGATGATGAAATTTGTATTTTCAGGATTAACTGGATATTTTTAAGTTGATGTTATTTTATTATTCGTTGAGGGGGAATTTTTTTGGGGGGTATCCAGGGTATTTGGGGTGATTTTTGGGGAGCACTCGGTTTGGGACGTGTCACCTCGTGTATGCGGTTTTCTCGATAATTTCATTATGAATTTCAGGGATTTTGGGAATTTAGCTGATACTTGGGCCCTGGATGAGGGTTCAGACACGATGAAATAGTTTTTTAGAGTATTTGTTTATGGGAAAAGACTGATTTCAGTGGATTTCAAAGTTGAATGACTCTTGGGAGTTTTTGGTGGGGTAATTGTTTTTTGGGATGATTTCTCAGGTTTGGGTTGTTTTCTGTTGAACAGGAGAAATTGAAGTTATTGGTTTGCCTTTGAATAATTTGATGGGGAATTGGGTTTGGGGGAGGGAAGGGAGAGGAAAATGGAGACATATTTTTTTTTATGCAAAGTTGTTCCTCTTTGCAATGGACTCAGAATACCCTCGACTGGGGAATGAATTCTTTAGTTATAAATGTTTTGACACGATTGAACTGTCTGTTTTAGTCTGTCGTATGTTGATTGGTGTAGGGGAATTTTTGTTGATTTTGTTGTCGTTTTTTTGGATAAAGTTTTTTATCAGGAGGATATTCATCATTTTTTGGAGTTTTGGGAGGGATTCTGTTGGAGTCTTTGCTCCAGAGGAAGTCGTCTCCTAGAACTCTCCAACTCTGAGATTTAGAGAAATGAAATAATTCTAATAGCTCATTAAGAAAATGGACTAGATGATGAGGTGTACGTGATATTTCAGGTCGTCGATATGGGCGCAGTCGTGGATGTCATCACAGCCCTGGAAAAGACGACAATCACCAAAGAAGTGCTCGAGGTAATCCCCACAAATGACCAGAAACTCATTAAAACGATTCAAGTCATGTGCCTCTTCCTTGAGTTTCCAAAAACCGCTATATCTCCGAAACTAACGAAGCTAGAGCAATTTTGATTATAATCTTTTTTGTAGACCGAATAAAAATCTACGAAAAAGGTTCTCACAAAAATTTCGCAACCTGCGTTAGATTTCGAGTTATTGACGGAATTGGAATTGACTTGAGATGTTTACCTTTTTAGTCATTCATTGACGATTTAGTTATGAATGATTATGACTGATGTAGAGTACACGACTGGGAAAACACATTAATGAACTACGGAGGCAAACGACAAATGACGCACTGGCTAAACGTGCTAAGGATTTGGTGCGGAGATGGCGAGAAATGGTCCTACCGCCCACCAATTCGTCGTCACAAGTACCAGCACCAGTAGCTGGGGTCCAGGGAATAAATGGAACGAAACCACAGAGCCCAGGGGTGCGGATTTTGCCCAAGTCTCGTAGTCCACCTGGGAGTAGAATTTTTAAACCACAGAGTCCACTTCTACGAGATGGAACAGCGTTGAAAGTATGAGAAATCATCAATCAATTAATTAAACTTATCCCTTAAAAATTGAAAACCAATTAAATTCCATTTTTAGTTGAGTAGTAAAAATATCTAATCTATCCTGTCAATGCCTATTAGAGTTTCATCAGGATTGCACTTAATTCCCTCAAACGACGAAATCAAGGCCCACGAGGTTTTCGGGAAAATGACGCAATGAATTAGTGAAAGTATCGACAAAAACTCAAGTCTCTGGTTCTTAACATAAAAAAAAACAGCCCTCGAAGTCGATACTTTCCTCTTCCCCATTCACTCGAAATTTCTCAACTAAATTCGATAAAATGTCAATCTATCGCCATGAGAAATAGTTTTATGACTGAAGACTCTAATCACAATTTATAAACGACAAAACTATTTAAAAAATGAAAATCTCCAGGTGCTGAGTCCAGCGCTGTCCCTGACGAGCGAGCAGTCGCGCTCACCAAATCCAACACCCCCTAAGCACCATAATCACCGGCTGAATCAAACGATATCCCCAAAATTATCAGCAACATCACAGAATCCATCGCTGGACGCAGTGCCACGCACCCACAGCTCAAACAAACGTCTACGAAAAGACGATACAGACGTCCTGAGCCCGACGAAGGACGAGCATACAATTAAGAAAGCCCGGATAAACGGTGAGAGCATAAATACTAATATAACAGATAACTCGCAAGTGCCTAGCCCATCGCCAATAGATCCAGGTGTTGATTCACTGATACCGGACGACAGTAGCCTGGACACTGGCGTTGGGCCGAAAAAACGTGGACGAAAGAAGGGAAGTAAATCAATGAAGAGCCAACAGCAGCAGCAGGATCGAGTCAAGGAGAAATTGGCTAGTATATCACGTAATCCAAAGTTGAAAACAACCCAGGAGTTGTTGGCGGATTTGCAGGCCAGAGGGTCAACAGGCGCTGGCACCTGTACCAGAGCTACTGAGCCACCAACAACTGAGGAGATACTCAGGGGCTCTGAGGACGTCACTTATACCAGGAATAATCGAAATAAATTGACTAATTTGGGGAAGAAGAATGGAGACGATGTGGATGGCGTTGAGGATAATCATTTGGATGGTGGACAACGTGATCTTACTGTTGAGGAAATTCTAGCTAAGCTACCACCTATTAATCATGACACCATAAGGTGGAGTGATGATGAGGAGCCTGATAGTCCAGCCAAAAGGGATGTCAATCAGGATGACGTTGACAGGCTGCATCAGCAGTGCGTCGAGGGACTCAATGGCAATTATCAGATCAGAGTTAATTCCCAGGGGAGGGACGACGCATGTGATATTAAGAGGATATCGAATTTTCGCAGAAGGAGTAATGATCCTGATAGAGAGTTTAAGGAGTGGCATGAGATGTTAGCTAGGCCAAGCTATGACGGCCAAATCCTCCACATATTGCCTTACGTTATCATTGATTAATTAAGGGCTTTACAGCTGGTGGAAAATTCAATTGGTCAATTATCCAGGGGATATGTCTGTGGTCTACCGATTCTCCGGAAAATATCTGTCTCCCATTTTTTTCTTTCGGATCAGTTTTTTGAGAATATCTTGGAGACCAAGGAAGATACAGAAATTTTCGTCGATCCCTTTTTCATAGCTCTCCTTTTTTTAAAGGGAAAATGTATTCGCGAAAATTTCGATATCTTCATTCAGTTAATGAGTATCAGCTAAAAACTGGCCTCGAAAAATGCAATGAATTACTGAATTATTGAGAATAGGTTGAAGAAGTCTTTTTAATTGCCCCGGGCACGGATATTAAAAACCAGAGACGTATCCACGTGGAATGACAGGTGTATCAAAGCTGCAGCCACTTGTTTCTTTTTTTTTCTTATTTTTTTTTCTTTTCTGGAATTATCAGAACTCGAGCAGTCGTTGGGGCTCTTATTTTGTCATTCTCCCATGTCTTCCGTTGGTCGTTTTTTGAATTATTTATGCGATCGCTCGAGTTCTGATTATCAGGCAATGGGAAGTGAGAGAATGTCGTCGATTTGCACTGGAAAATGAGTTGTTGAATAAAAAAATTAAATGGAACTCCAGGACCAGGGCAATTGCCTTGTTAGCACTTGGTTTAGCGTAAAAATGATTAATTTGAGGTTTTCTTTTTCAATTATTATTACTTAATCAATTCAGTGATTGAAAAGAGAATTATTGTTCATTGAGTTTTTTTTTTCCTGGAATAGTCGTAACTGTAAATAGATGATGTATAATAAGGAATGGAGAGACATTGAATTCGTTACCGAGGGGATTTGGGCGATCAATTTTTCGATCCCATCAGGAATAATGATGAAGGTTGCAATTGTAAATTGTCCAACAAATGTGAAGTGTGACTGAGAATAGAAGCTGTGGTGAACAGAAGTATTTTTTTTTTCAGTTATTTTTCTCCTTTCGGCTCGGACAATATGTAAAAAAATTCACGAGAATTTATAAAATTTCGGTAGCAAAAAACTAAAAAGTAACGACTCATACTTGTCAAGTTTTCGAGGGATATCTCTGGATCTGGAGGAGATAGCGATAACTTCGTTAGAACTGATTTTGTGGACTTTAATGCGGACTACAAGAAATGTTATTATACAAATTTTGATATCTCCGTCGGATGCAGAGATATTCGGCGAAAACTTGCTTATAAGATTAGGGAGTTGTTATTGTAGGTTTTTGGTACCGATTTAATGAGACAATTGTAATTATGGGGAAACAGGATGAATAAAAATTTTGGGGAACGTGCGTACGGTTTTTATATTCTTACTGAAGCGGATCGTACCAATCGGTGAATTTTGTGGTTGAATGCAAAATTCTGGTACATTTGAAATTAATTGAGGTGCCTTTTCATTGTTTCTATGTTCATCGAGCGTTTTGTTTTCTCTCATCATCACTCTGTCATCTGTGATTCAGTGGAATATATCTCGATGATGAACAATCCAAAAGTTCATTAACTTCTGCAAAATCATTCGAGAAAAGAGCGAAAAATGAAAAAAAAAAACAGTTAAGATAAATAAACTTGGGAGTTTTCTCCACTTTCCCTCTGTCAAATGGTCCACACTAAGTATAAAAAAATAAATTATATTTTGCACTTGTAAAATTATTCGATTTTTGTTCCAGAAAAGGAATTTTCAAAGATTTTAATATAAACGCAATGAAAAATACAAAACCAAAAAAAAAATAAATATCCATTATCAATTTTTTTTAATCGCATTATTCGCGTCGGCTGATTATTATCATTTCAAGAGTACGTAGGAAACAATGACTCGGAGGATCAACAGCAAATGAAAGACTGAAAAAGTGTCCCATATGAAAATTATTTTGTGCGCACGTGTTGAAAGTGTATTAAACAAAAAAGAAATATCAGCGGATGAAAAATCAGATAAACGCCAAATGTCCGTAAAATGCGTTTGAATCGTTTGAATTCATGTGAATAATGAGATTCATTCAAATATATAAATACGTTTGTGACGGTGTAACGCGTTTCAGTCATGAACGCGGAAAAGGAAAAAAAAATAAAGTTATTTGTATTTCTCAATTATTCTCTCGCTAAATCTCCTACCTTCTAAGTTTTCCCAAAATAAATACTTTATAAATAAACACAGATGAATATTTATATAAATGTATTAAATATTAACAGATTTTCCCATTTTAAACAAATTGCATGCCCTTGAATTAATTTCAAATTTTGTTTACATTCCTAGAATTTCTAACCCCAAAAATTCATGTGACTGTGAATTAATTGACTCGAAATTTTAATTGAATTATAACGATGGAAGACAAGAAGAGGAAATGGAATAAGTCCTGGGGGTGTCAGAAGAAGTCTAAGCAATTGTACATCGACGTGGGTATGACTGGATTTCTGTGCACTTGCAATTTTAAGGAGAAAGAGTGCATCAGAGATGCCTACAGACTCCTCGAGTCATTTTGCAGTGAAAAAAATTCAGTGCCAGAAAAACCCGAGACTGTCGATGAAAATGTGGAGGACGAGGACATTTCTGATGCCCTGAACAAGGAAATCCAGGCACTCAGTGCACAAGGCAAAAAACCCAACGAAAAGAACTTCCAAGTGAGGACAGAACTCGATAATTCATCATTCAATTACAACTGTTATTCATTTGTTCCATAATTTTATATTTCTTCATTGTTTTGCTTCTATTTACATCTAGAAAGTGATTGGTTAATTAATTTGATTGAATTATTGACAGTACATTGACACTGGAGTTAAGAACGTCATCTTCATGCGTTCAACACTGGCAGATCCTCTGGAGCTCGCCACGAGGATAATCCATCACCTGGACGAGACTAAAGAGCCTCGGAGTAGATTTATACTGAGACTTATTCCAGTCTTGGGCATTTGCAAAGCCAATATCGAAGATATCAAGGCAAAAGCCAATGATTTAATCGACAAATACTTCGTGCAAGAGCCCAAGACTTTTGCTATTGTCTTCAAGTAATTATCCAGATGATCACAGCAAATTGCATAATTTTTCTCGTACATTCTATCTGATAAATAACTCGAATTGCAGCCGACACTACAATAATTCAGTGCAGAGGAACGACGTAATCGAGGCCCTGGCAGCTCTGATAGCAGAGAAAAATCCAGGGAACAAAGCAGATCTGAAAAATCCTGAGATTGCTCTTGTTGTGGAGATTATTAGAGGACACTGTCTCCTGTCAATTGCCCCAGAGTACTTCAAGTACAGGAAATACAATTTGACAGAAATTTGTGTGGTAAAAGAAGAAGGGGAGAAAGTTAAGAATGAGACTGAGGCGAAAGAAGAAATTACTGAGGAAAAAGAAGAAGAACCTCCAGAGGTTCTCAAAGCTGATGACGAAGCCCTGGAGATTAAATAATTTTTATTTATCGTTCTATTTTTCTATTTTTTCTATTTTTGAGAACATAAACTGTCCAAGTCCTCTGAATAATTTTTATTTTTCGTTTAAATTCGTCGTACTCGTGAAAAAATAAGAATTTATGTTTTATTTTCGCTCTAATTTGTTTCTTTTTCTGAGGACCAGTATTTTTGCTAATTTACGAGTTGATTCTTGTACTAAGAGCTGACGAAAGACTAATAAAGATAATATTTGATTCATAATGACATAATGAGTAAAAAAATTATTTCTCCACACGATAATAATTATTTCGACACTCACGCCTCTGGCAGTTATTCCTGGAACTCCAAACGAGCCCGGAAAAACCGACAATTTCTCATCGAAATTTCTATAATTACCACAGAAAAAGGTGTAATTGAAGTAATTAGGACAAATGGCAGGAGGAGCAAAAGCCCAAGGAGCTTTCCAACCGGTGTGTAATAAAAAATTCCTCAAAATTATAGTTTTTTAGTAAAAATTCTCTGAAAATTCACTCTAACCTCTTATTTCTCACCCCAGGACTCTGACATTCACATTTCTTATGAAGATCAGCAGAAAATAAACAGATTTGCCAAGCAAAATGCACAGATGGACGATCTGAAAGAAGAATTAAAGATCAGACAGGTGAAATACTCGTGAAATGTCACGTATTTTTGTGTTCTTACCATAAATGGTCATGATTCATCTTCTTCGTATCTTTAGAATGATTTGAAAAATCTGGAGGATGCCTGTGACGAACTCGCACTGATGGATGATGATGCCAAGATCCCTTACAGGATTGGAGATCTTTTCGTTAATCAGGATCTCGAAAAAACACAGGTTCGATTTTTTTTCTAGCGATTTTTAATGATATCAAACTAGATAACCGAGATATTCATAAAAAAGCTTCTCTTGGCCAGAACCCTCGGTTAAAAAAAAAATAAATTACTTTTCATTTCTCTTTTTGTTGTAGAAAACCTTGGAAGAGGCTAAAGAGAAAAAACTCGCGGAAATATCGGAATTGGAGAGCAAGTGCTCCGATTTAAAGACAATCATGACAGATCTCAAGGCCCAGCTCTACGCGAAATTCGGGAGTCACATTAACCTGGAGACTGATGAGGATTGAGTTATAATTTAATAAATAAAAACTGAAACGCTTTATTTCATCATGCAACTCTCCACTTCATATTTCCCCGCTCTCACACGTCAAATATTTCAATAAATTTTTATATACTAGACTGGAATTTTCTATTGATTCATTAAAAATGAATAAAAATCTCTCTTCCAGAAAAGATTAATCGAATCTCAAAAGAATCTTCAAATATTCCTTCAGATTTTTCAAATAATTGATGGAATTTTTGGAGAAAGCATTGGTTTTTAAAATTTATCGATTATTTGATTTTATCGATTCGAATAGAATAAAAAATCGAGGCGTCGATTCTAAATTTTCCCGGGTAGTTTGAGCCTTTGCCAAATGAGAATCAACTCTTCAGAATAAAAAATACCGACAAACATAGAACCACCGAAAACTATTATTGGATGTTAATTATGACCTGGAGGTCTTATTTCTAATTTTTTTTTAATGTTAAATTATCAGGGATTTCCTGAGATTTTCCCAATGACAGGAAAATTATCCCTGGGAAGTAGTGACGATTGGATCATTGATGATGGCACGTGAGGCTTGTCAATCCTTCGAAAAATGTCTAGGTACGGCTTATAACGGCCATTCGTGGATAATTTTAGTCATCACCTCAGTGAGTTCAAGTGTCTCGTACTGAGACTTACCGAACACCGGCTTCAATGCTCGTCAGTCTCTTCACAACAGTTCAGTCTTTACTAAATTATTTCAACCCCCAATTAAAGATTTACATTAATCCATCTCCTGCGAGAAATTCCCCTTTCAATTTAAATCATTAAAGTGATCACGCGATAAATTATTTATACGTAATTATTGGGATCAATCGAAATCGATCGGCGAGTGATAATTCGTTTTATTATTCGAGGGTGTTAATTTATTAACGGAACTATTCGATAATTTGAGATTTTGGTAATAATTCGGTAAAATGGATTTGGCCAGGGACTTGATTCTTATGATGAAATCGAAATGCAAATCTCACGTGGGGTACGGTCTCCAGGCGGAATGTGAGAGTCTAGTGGGTCATATCCTGGAGAATATGGCAAAATCACAGATGCCGGCGCTACGGATTGATAAGAAGAATGACGAAACGTCGATGAAATATCGAGAGGAAGGTAACGTGTAAGAAAATAATTGCCGAAAAATTTTCCATTAAATTGTGAAATTTCAAATTTTCCGAGGGATTTTTTTCTCCAGGAAACGAGTATTTCGTCGCTGGAGACGATGTAAAAGCCATCGAAACGTACACGAAGAGTTTGGCATACGCAAAATCGAATGAGCAGATGGCGTATGCCCACGCGAATCGCTCTGCAGCGCTTTATCGTAAGAAAATGTATAAAGAGTGTATAATGGACGTGAAAGAGGCCCTAGACCTCGAGTACCCCGAGGAAAAGCGGAAGAGGCTGGAGGAGCGCGGGCTCAAGGCCATGGCAGAGCTCGCGAAATTATTGAATGAAAAATCCACAGACCTTGATGATGATCTGGAAGACTGCCCGTTCACTCAAGTTGACTCCACCCAGAAGAAGAGGTTTCCTCTGATTTCAGTTGAAGAGGCGGAAGCTCCTAAGAAATCCCTCGACATACATGTATGGAAAAAATTGATGGACTTCCACTGGAATTCTAGCTCGTGATGATTTTTTTTTTGGTGCCTTCAGGTGCCCAAGGAGATTTCGGTTTCTGGAGAGGCCTCAGGGACTTTTGTCAAGCCCAGGTACCTTCTGCATCCTGAATACATGTCTTTTCCTCATGGACCCAGCAAAGAGGCTCCAGCTAATAGTGATGGAGTGGAAATTTCATTCTCTAAGAAGTATGGGAGACATCTCATGGCCACAAAGGAGTTCAAGCCTGGGGACATCCTCACGATGGAGAGACCATTCTCCTGGGTCATCTACAGGGACAAGTGAGAGGTTCTGAATTTATAGGGCAATCAATAATTTCGATCAATTCAAAATTTGTCCTGGCAGATCCCTAAAAATTCTGTTGATTCCCAGAAATATTTTAGTAAATTACAGAACATTTTTTGTTTTAATCGCCTAGGGATTTCGAGGAAATTCTGGGAGTTCAGGAGAGGTTCAAGCATTGTTTACAATAATTCAAGATACTAAAACTTATAATTAATAACTGATCTGATATATTTCATTAAGAGAACATCTTAAAAATATTTTATCATAACAAGTATTCGTAACGACTTACTTGAAAATATCTAATTAACAAAATAGGAGTTTAAAACATTGACAATAAATTAAATTTTCCTCCAACTCATCCCTCAGTTGAGCTCCTGGAGCTCGAGTTGAATGGTCAAACCACAAAAAATGAATTTTCTAAATGAAGGTTCTACACACACTGTCACCACTGCCTGGAGCGCTGCTACGTCCTCTTGCCCTGTCCTGAGTGCCCAATCTCTCAATACTGTTCAGAAAAATGCAGAACAGAGGATTGGGACTGGGCCCACAAGATGGAGTGCCCAGTGCTGTCAGGACTGGTGAATCTCCTGAACGTCGACGAGGACAAGGTGCGAATGGTGATGAAGATAATCAGAATGCTGATGCCTGCAACATTGAATGGAAAGAGAATTGACGAGTTGAGGAGTGACATGAAGAATGCTGAAATGAATCCAGGTGACTTACGCCTTTTTAATTTATTAATCGACTGTATAATATTTGTTTTTGCCACCTGCCAGATGACAGAACTGCTGGCTTCACTGATTTGGGAGTTCTGGAGAGCACCAGTCCCAGATCAGCTCTGAGTTTAGCAACAAATATGATTACAAGACCTATTATTGGAATTAGTGCATTCGCATGTGTTTCTGCACTTGGTGCGATGCTTTTGGCAACTCAGACTGGTTTTTTTGGGAGGAAGTACAAGTGGAATGAACTCAGAGACATCACTAAATATCCGGACATCAAGTTTTGTGGGAGTTTGATGCTCAGGGCCTGTGTCATCACCTCCTCTAACTGTTTTTCAGTAAATTTTACTTTTAAAAGATATGGGGAGAATTTGGAGTATGTTTTATCTAGTTTAGACTTCAGCGCTTATTGAGTCTAGTTGATATGATCATAATTGTTTTTAGATTCAGCCTGAACCAGGAGTGAAGTCCGGCTCAGGGCTGTACGTGACCCACAGCCTGTACAATCACTCGTGTGCTCCAAATACCTTCAGACATTTTGAAGGACTCACCATGATAACTCGTGCAATGGAGCCCATCCATCCTGGGGATCAGATATTCACAGGATACGGTGCTGACTACTCCTACATGCCACTGGCAAAGAGAAAAGAGAAACTTCTCGATGAGTACTTCTTCGACTGCGAATGCCCAGCATGCATCAACGATTGGCCCACGTACGATGAGATCCTGAAAAATCATGTGGGTTCCATCACCAAGGACAAAAAACTCGTTCAACGCCTGAAACCATACAAACAGAGATTACTGGCAAATAAATACGACATTGAGGCTGTCAGGGAGGTGCTTTGCATCCTCCATGCTGACGTTAAGATGCCATGCGAAGAGATTTTACATGGAGTTCAGTACCTCAGGAGTTTCTACTTGGGTAAATTACACAGAAGTCGTTAATCATCGCTTATTCGCTACTCTTCGATATCTTCTCAATTTACAAGGCCTTCACATTTTTTTTCGCTTTTTTGCTTTTCTCACGGATTTTGACGATTCAGATTCAACACTTTCTTGTGGTTTTTAGATCCCTAGAGGCTTCAGGAGTCTTCGATGACGTGGGAGAGATTGGAAGTTTTTTTTTTCTTCGATTTATTGATACTCAAATATTACATACATCGTGATTGAATTGAATACATTGTACACGTTAAAGGAAATTGTTTAGGAAATAATATTCTAGATGGGACCTGTGGGCACCAATTAATTGAGAATAAAACGTAATTTCACGTTTTTACGTATTACTCGTAATTGAACTGTTTTCAAGTCATTGAAATGTTTCAGAATCTGAAATGATTTCGTATATTCAGTCTCGAAATGATGTGGAAAATTAAATAATCTCACACGTGTGAAAGGATCAATCGATAATTCATAATTATTCCGACTATTTCCCTTCTGATTTTGTTCTTTAAATTTGATTTTTTCGAACGTTGAATTCCCTCCTAATTTAATCCATTTAGTTTTTTACAATTTTTTCACACGTGAATTAAATATTGACTGATTTGATCCGAATTTAATCAGTGGAAATAACATTTTTTCCATTTTTCTATCAATGGAGGCGATACAATCAAGATTTTATTTAATTCTGACTATCTCCTACACGTAAAAAATGAATACAGTATTCATTGAGATTGATAATAATTGAATAAACGAATAAGCTGAGGAAATAATTCTTAATGAATAGTAAAAATAATTTAAAGACGATTTATATTGGGGAATGCAGCAAAAAGTGGTTGTGCAGATGAAGTCGTCGACTGCGGATCTCCAATGCTCTTGAGGAGATTTCCCTGGAGAAGACTGTCGAGTGCTTTCTGCACAGTTGGATCGTTGAGAAGTGGAGATGGAGTCACTCCAGTTCCAGATGTTGATGATGTCGATGTTGTTGACGTGTCTGCCAGTAATAGGATAAAATAATAGGATGAAAACGTCCATTTCTTTTCATTATTCAATATTATCTCTGATATTCTTTAAGATTTATAGTTGTATTCTGTACCTTTTTGTCACCACTTTATTCTTTAATTAATTTTAATCACCCGCGAGCGGTTCAATCGCACGTTTTCTCCGGGCGATAATTCCCGAGTAAATGAAATAATATCACGCGATAACGGAAAAATCGTCTGGTTGAGAATTCCATCGCGTGTCGATACCGCGACTCGGCGAAAATGTGCAAAAGTAATGCATCAGATCCGGAATAAAAACCAAAACGTTTTCTTTTAAATTAAAGAACGCGAGGCGCACGGCGCCAGGAACTCGTCCTCCAGTGGGAAATCTCCAAACAAAATCCCTTCGGAATTCAATAAAACATTTTTTACTGAATATTTCAGTAGGGATTCAACAGAATTGTCCAGCGAATGTGCCAGATATTTCAGTGAAATAGTGTCATGCATTGGAAATTGTTAAAATCATTCCCTAAAATCATCTAAAATCTTTCGCAAATTGTTTAAAGTTGATTTGTGAGGCTGAATAAATTCAGGAATGAGATCCAAGTGTTTTACCTGCGGCCCATGTTGCTGGTGGGACTGGAACTGGAGCTGGGGCTGGTACTGGGCTGGGAGCTGGTGCATTGGCATTTGGTCGGTTACTGTTGAGAATATTCAATATCCTCGACTGCAATTCCGCTTGTTTGGGGTCACTGACTCCCATTGTACCTCCAGGCATGTCCTTGGCGTCCCCCAACTCCACCTGAACCTGCTCCTCGCGTTTTATCTCCAGGTACTTGAGAACTCTATCGTACTGGAGAACTGTCAGCTGGTGATTGTCCGCGAGCATGTTCAGTAGCACCTGAATGGCGTCTGGATGGCGATCACTGGTGAATGGAGTGTTCAGGGGAACTCCACGCCCACCTGATTTATAATTACTGAAGTCACGGCTGATCAGGTTCAGGGCGTCCTCCACGGGCATATTTCTGTGCTCTGAAAACAATAATTTTTGTTTTCTATTATGCAAATGGGGAGGATATCACGAATTATTTTTGAAACGTTTTGGACAATTGAAATCCTTCATTAATATTTGAATATTTAAAATATGAACAATAAATGAAACAAGATGAATAGCAAAAAAAATTAATTATGACGATTTTTTTCTAATGGATAGAATAATGAAAAGAAAAACAATTACCTTGAGGAAGTCCATGAAGAATATTGAGTGTCAACGAGTGATGTTCAAGGTTGATTGGCACAACAACGACAGCATACAAGCATCCCCGATTGGCGATATTCCCTAGGACACGACTGAGTGACACCTCCTCATTAGGAAACAGAAGATCAACAGTGAGTCCCATTTTTTTGAGTCGAGCCTCGATGGCCTCAGCGTATTCAGTCAAGCTCTTGTGAACGACAATGATCTCGCAATCATTTTTCTCAGCAGGCGGATAGTCTGGATGGCCCATGGGCCTGACATTGGGTCCAGGCATCATATCCCTGAATCGATCATCGAATCTTGGCTCGTTGTAGTCCCTGGGCCCAAATCCAGTCCTCATTTTGTTCATCTCCCACTCCCTCGTCATTTCCTCTCTCCCACGATTCAGTGGACTCCGATCCCTGAAATTATTCCCCAGGTTGTCTCGATTTTTATTCCTGTTCTTTCCACCACGACTGCCTCTTGTTCTTGTCTGGTTGCCACCCTGATTGTTCTGGTTCTTGTTCTGATTTTGATTCTGATTCTGATTGTTCCCGGGGCGATTCTGATTGTTGGCTTTGCCCTGATTATTATTGGGTCCGCTGTTAGCGTTGGAGCCATTGGAGTTGCCACCGGACTCCTCGGATCTATTCTGGTGCTGCGGGAACTCGTCGTCCTTATCCTGAGTGAAGTTGTTATTCTGATTTTCAGAAAACTTCTGGTCATCCTCTAGGTCGTCCTCCTGGTCCTCAGTGAAGTCTCGCTGGGGAGGGTTATCAGAGGACTTCGGAGGATCCTCGAAGGAGCTATTTTGCTGATTTGAGCTATTGAACGAGCTGTTCTGCTGGTTTGAATTGTTGAAGGAGGTGTTTTGAGGAGTTGAGCTGCTAAAGGATTGAGATGGAGTGAAACTTTGTCCTGGGGGAAAGCTCATGTTACGTTGGGGTTGACTTCTGTTGGGAAACTGCTGATTACTGAAGGAGGAGTTGCCGTCTTTCTTCGCAGGCTTCACGTCAATTCGTCGTCCTTTGAGCATCTGTCCTGCCTCGTTCCTGATGGCAGCCTGAGCCGACTCCTCGTTCTCAAATTGGACAAACCCAAAACCTCGATTCATCAGGGCACCAATTACTTGTCCGTACTTGGAGAAGTGCTCCTCCAACTCCATCTTCGTCATCTCGTCGGTCTGGAGATTGCCAATGAATATACGACAATTCGCTGTGCTGGGGTCTTTCAGCAATCGTGCACTCATTTTTTCTCGGATTGTTTGTTTATCCTGGGGAGAAAGGAATCGTTAAATTGAGCATTCAGAGGTTAACTGGAGTTCGTGGAGGAAAAAGTGGAGTGGAGTCTCTTAAAAGAATGGAAGGCAAGGTCTAAATGAATTTTACCTTTGACACTGGTTTTAAACACCTCCAACTCACACTTTACCCCTTGGAGATGGTTTTGTAGAGTTTATTGGCAATCGAGAATTCTAACTAACTTTTCCACACTATTACTCGCGCATGCGCATTGCCGAGACAGGTGTATCCCTCCGCCGGAGGTTAAAGGGGATGTTAAAATTAATTACAATAATTATGTTGCAACGATCAAAGAGTGTAATTTGGGAGAAATAAGATAATTGGAAAAGCCTTTCTGACACTTTAATTGGTGTTAATTATGAGAGATTCCGATAAGGCTGAGAATCGAAAAGGCAAAGAAATGGTGTCGAACCGATTTACGAGTGTTGCCGATCGTGTGGCGTCTAATATTCTCTTTTGATTTCTTCAATTGATTTTCTTGATTGAAAGTAAAAAAAGGCTTCAATTGTGTGTTTCAATTATATAGATTTTTTAACTTTGATATTCCAATCGATTCACTTATCATTTTATAATTATTGCAAAGAAGTTGCTCATTTTTGATTGAGGTTGATTTGCCATGTTTGTCGTGTCTGACTTGAAAAAGTTTAGCCTTATGATTTTAATGTGTCAATTGGAAGAAAAAAAAATAAAGGTCCCACCGAGATTTGAACTCGGATCGCTGGATTCAGAGTCCAGAGTGCTAACCATTACACCATGGAACCTTGGATGAAGGTTAACATTTCGGTCTTGGTACTTAATGAAAAGAAATATCAAAAATGCATGCTAAAATAACCGAATCATTATATCCATAAATTAATTTGACTGTTCGTTTTCTCATTTCGCAATTCAATATCCCGTTATGAATAATTTTATTTAATAATTGTATGAATAGAATTGAAATTTCATGCGACTAAAATGAGGATCGGGATATTTAAGGAATAGGAGAAATCGAATAATCTTCGCCAAAAACATATTGTGGCCCTGAAAAGGGCCGATGTAGATAGACTGCATAAATTTTAACCTCCAAATCCGTAAAGAGTGCGTCCTTGACGTTTCAGTGCGTAGACGACATCCATAGCTGTGACAGTCTTCCTCTTGGCGTGTTCAGTATAGGTAACAGCATCACGGATGACATTCTCCAGAAAGACCTTGAGAACACCACGAGTCTCTTCATAAATCAATCCCGAAATACGTTTAACACCTCCTCGGCGAGCCAAACGACGAATAGCTGGTTTAGTAATGCCTTGGATGTTGTCACGAAGAACTTTTCGATGGCGCTTGGCTCCTCCTTTTCCCAATCCTTTTCCTCCCTTTCCACGACCAGTCATTGTAGTTACTTTATGTAGAGAATGTTCCACTGGAGAGTTCCTCGCTGGAATGATGCTAAAAATTTGAGTGTGCGCAGTTTTATAGACTCCTGGTACAGTAACCCCCCACTACCTCAGATTGAGCCAATCATGAGACAGGTCCAGGTTTACCCCCTCTACCACGCTGAGAGCCAATGGGAATGTGTCGCTGGGTGATATATTGAGGAACATCGCAGTACGGAGCACAATTTTTTCTCATCCACCGAAGCAGCATCCTTACTAATTGGAGACGCAATGGCTCGTACTAAGCAGACAGCTCGAAAGTCAACCGGCGGGAAAGCACCGAGAAAACAGCTAGCTACCAAGGCCGCACGTAAGAGCGCGCCAGCAACTGGAGGAGTTAAAAAGCCCCATCGCTACAGGCCGGGAACAGTTGCACTCCGTGAGATTCGCCGTTACCAGAAGAGCACAGAATTGCTCATCCGCAAACTGCCTTTTCAACGACTTGTTCGTGAGATTGCCCAGGACTTCAAGACCGATCTTCGATTCCAGAGTTCTGCTGTGATGGCTCTTCAAGAAGCCAGCGAAGCTTATCTCGTTGGTCTTTTCGAAGACACCAATCTTTGCGCTATTCATGCCAAGCGAGTCACCATCATGCCCAAGGACATCCAGCTAGCTCGACGCATCCGAGGAGAGAGAGCTTAAATTATTTCAGTTTACATTGAAAATAATCGGCCCTTTTCAGGGCCATATATGCTCTCCAATGTGGGATTTACAATTTCGATAATTCATTAAATTTTCCGTGTCTGCCGTGGCTTGCAATAAAAAGTTTACAGACAAATACAGTCGCGACCTCCGAGAGACTAGCACATGCGAAATATGAGGATCAACAATTATCACTTAATTACACATCAGAGATAAAACGGGGAGACGTCGTCGATGCCAATAGGAATGCAGTGAATTACAGAACTCAGTATTATTAATGCACTCTGTTCAATCTACATCGGACCTTATTGTAGTAGATATTGCTCCGTTCGAGATAATTGTGTTGTCAGTAAAAAAATGGATAAAACTATAAAGCGTGAGAATCCAAACCCACGGAAAACAGCAAATGTTTTTAAAAAATTATCATTCTGGTGGGTGTTGTTGGTCTGAATCAGTAAAAAAACATTATTAACGATTCATTTATTCTCAGGTGGCTAAAGCCGTTTTTTCTTTATGGAAAAAAGAACGATTTAGAGAGCAAGGATTTATACAACACTCTACCCCCTGATCTCAGTGAACCACTTGGGGATGTTTTAGAGAAAAATTGGACAATGGAAATAGCCGCAGCACGTCGTACTGGAAGAAAACCTCGACTTTTCACTGCGATCAGAAAAACATTCATGTTATCGCACATTTACTACGGCGGATTGTTATTTTCTCATTCAATGATGTGGTATGGATATTAACGGACGTGACTTGTTCCAGTGTTTCATTTTCTGTTTAAATATATTTGTAGTGTACTGCTGCCTTATGTTCTCGGCCTTCTTATCAGTTACTTTGCTCATGATTCAACAATTACGACAGGCGAAGCATATGGGTATGCGTCGCTAGTCGTAATAATATCAATTCTCATGGCTTTGATTGATCATCATTCGAATATGGGACAAATGGAGATAGGAATGCGCCTGCGAATTGCAAGTTCTTCATTAATTTATCGAAAGGTTATTCGATTTATATAACGAAATACTGAAATAATTATTTATAGTTAATTCATCAGTGTAATTTCCTGACAGATTCTGAAACTTTCCAGGAGTTCGGCGAACAAAACAGCGGGTGGTCAAATAATAAATTTATTATCAAATGATGTGGGGAGGTTTGATCAGGTATTTATATTGCTTCACTATTTGTGGATATCTCCTATTCAGTTTATAGTGATAGCCTGTTTAATCTGGCAAAATGTGCAAATGGCCACTCTGACTGGAATTTTTCTCCTCGTGATTCAAACGGTACCAGTACAAACATATTTGAGTAGATTAACAGCCAAATTGCGAGCTAAAGTGGCAGTACGTACTGACGAACGTGTCCGACTGATGAGTGAGATAATAACTGCAGTTCAGGTTATCAAAATGTATACATGGGAGAAGCCCTTCCTACGATTGGTCTCGTTCGCGAGGAAACATGAGATCGATGTTCTTACTGTAATGGCATATTGGAGGGGAACTATACGAGCATCTATGGTCTTCACTGAACGTACAACATTATTTTTCACTGTGATGACGTATGTGCTTTTGGGAAATACTATATCAGCTGCAAAAGTATTCTCTATGGCCCAGTATTTCAATCGTCTACAGGCTGGAGCGACTTGGTACATCCCGACGGCTCTGACATCTGCATCAGAAGCGACAGTCACGATAAAGCGACTGGAGAATTTCTTACTACTCGAGGATAATAAACCGCAGACTGTTGAGCAAACATCAACTGAAGCAGCTTCAATAAAAATTGAACAAGCCACTGCATCTTGGGATCGTGCCTCAATAACAAAGACATTGAATAACATAACTACAACGATAAAATCGGGCAAGTTGATTGCAGTGGTGGGTCCCGTTGGTGCTGGGAAGAGCTCTCTGCTGCAATTGATTCTTGGAGAATTGGATTCAACTGCTGGACAGGTGGCAGTCGGTGGATCGGTGTCGTATGCTAGTCAAGAGCCTTGGCTATTTACAGGAAGTGTGAGGAATAATATACTCTTTGGACAGCCCTATGATGGGCTGAGATATCGTCAGGTGGTGCGGGCTTGTGCATTAACCAGAGATTTTATACAACTTCCTCAAGGGGATAAAACGTTAGTGGGTGAGCGTGGCACGTCACTCAGCGGAGGACAACGCGCAAGAGTCAATCTCGCACGAGCAGTCTATCGCAAAGCTGATATTTACCTTTTCGATGATCCTCTGTCGGCTGTCGATGCACACGTGAGTAAAAGTTTGTTTGATGAGTGTTTCAAAGAATATCTAGGTGACAAAACAAGGGTTCTAGTTACGCATCAGGTGCAATACCTCAAGGATGTAGATTTTATTATCATGGTAAATCATGGAAGAATTGAAAAGCAAGGGAGTTTCAAAAATTTTTCACCCGATGATTTCAAACTATTACACGCTGATACCGAGGTGGAAAAAGAAGAGGAATTAATGGGAGAGAATCGAATGGTTAATGGCCGAGGGCTTGCAAATGCGGTCTCTCAAATTTCTTACTCCTCGGGAGCTGATAAGGAGGAAGAGGATGAAGAACCTGAGGAGACGGAAGAACTTATGGGCAAGGGAAAAATTTCGAGATCGTTGTTCGGAAGATATTTCGGAGCTAGTGGCAGTTATTTTTTTCTGTCTATGTTCGTTGTACTTTTAATAGCCGGCCAATTAGGCAGCAGTGGCTCGGATTTTTGGGTTGCTTATTGGACTAATCAAATAGAATTGCAACACAAGACTGACATCCTGCAAAATTATTCCTTGCATATTGAAATTGCCAGAATTTCTGAGGATAGCAATACGACTCGTATTGAAAGTGATTTTCCTCCTCCAATAAATTTAACACGCCCAGCTCCTCGAGATGAATCTTATGATAACAACAGAGCTCTTTGGATTTATGGAATGTTCGTAATGACGTGTACTATTTGCACAACATTGAGGAATGTTGTGTTTTTCAAAATTTGCATGAGCGCAAGTAAAAATCTTCACAATCTCATGCTTGAATGTCTGCTGCAAGCTCCCATGAAGTTTTTTGACAGTAATCCTTCAGGTACCCGACCAAATTACTGTAAACATTATTACTCAAGGTCAACCAGGTGTTCATACAAATTTTATTAATGTCATTCCGCAGGACGTATAGTCAACCGATTTTCTAAGGACATTGGATGCGTGGATGAACTTCTCCCCATTGCCCTCATAGATTCCATTCAAGTATTTGCGGTGATGGTAGGAATATTATCTCAAGTGGTTATTATTAACTGGTGGACTATATTTCCGATGGGTGTGATGGGCTACTTCTATTTGAAAATAAGATCATTATTCTTGGCCACGGCGCAGGACCTGAAACGACTGGAAGGAATCAGTAAAAAATTGCAATATGTTGAATGCTAATTATATTATTAATGTATGAATATTCTCGGGATGAAGTCCTCTGTTCAATAATTTTAGCAAAGAGTCCAGTGTTCTCCCATGTCAACGCATCTCTGGCTGGATTAGCGACCATTCGATCAGCTGGGGGCCAGGAAATGTTGCGGAAGGAGTTTGATAGCCACCAGGATGTTCACACCAGTGCCAACTCGTTATTGATCTCATCTAGTGCGGCCTTTGGGCTTTGGCTAGATATAGTGACCATCGTCTTTGTTGCTTTCATTACTTATAGTTTCATTATTCTAAAAAATGGTAACAATCCGCTATTTTTTTCTCATCTCATCACCGAAATTTCGATGTTGTAATATCATGGTATGAATTGGAAATATGCAGATACAACATCCGCTGGAAATGTTGGCCTGGCGATATCACAAATTTTGATTCTATGTGGTATGCTTCAATACGGAATGCGCCAGACTGCAGAAATGACAGCTCAAATGACATCAGTGGAGCGTGTGCTACAATTCACTGAGTTGGATAAGGAGGGGCCTTTCGACAGCCAAGCTAATGCAAAGCCACCAGCCACTTGGCCTCATCAAGGACAAATTAAATTTGATCACGTGTATTTCAAATATTCCGAAAAAGATTCTCCTGTTTTGAAAGATTTGAATATCAATATCGAGCCAGGCTTAAAGGTAATATCAGCCTCTATAAAATCTCATATGATTATTGCCTGCAATGAATATATAATTGTTGGCTAGTAAATTTTCAATCAGCCTGCGAGATAAGATAAAATAAAGACATTCTGCAGAATAAAAACGTAACACGAGTGATAATAAAATGAAAAAGTGTCACGATAAAATCGAGAATATATATATATATATATATATAAATTTCTCATAGTACTTATAGGAATATTATCAATTTAGGTGGGAGTAGTGGGACGTACTGGAGCTGGTAAATCTTCCCTCATTGCTGCACTGTTCAACCTAGCACAACTTGAAGGAGCCATTCACATTGATGAAGTTGATACAAAGAAAATCGGCCTGCACGACTTGAGAAAGAAAATATCCATAATACCGCAGGAACCAATGTTGTTTTCAGCGACACTCCGTGATAATTTGGATCCCTTCCACCATTTCAAGGATGATCAACTCTGGGCTGCTCTGGAGGATGTAGAGCTGAAGGGTTACAGTGAGTCTCTGGATTATTTAGTCACTCACGGGGGCGCCAATTTCAGCGCTGGCCAGCGACAACTGCTCTGTCTCGCCCGGGCTATCGTCAGGAATAATAAAATAATTGTATTGGATGAAGCAACTGCTAATGTTGATCCAGCGACCGATGCCCTCATACAACGAACAATTCGCGATAAATTCAAAGACTGCACAGTTCTGACGATAGCCCATAGGCTCAATACTGTTATGGATAGCGATAGAATACTCGTGATGGATCATGGTCAAGCTGTGGAGTACGATCTTCCTCATAAACTTTTACAGAAGCAAGACGGGTATCTGAAGAGGATGGTTAATGAAACTGGTACTACCATGGCAGATAGATTAAAAAAAATTGCTGAAGACGCTCATACTCGTAATGGTCCGAGTGATGATGAGACACCCAACACATAGCTGGATTCATTTTATTCTCATTTGCACCCAATGTATTCATGTGTATTATAAAAAAAATACAATAAATAGACCTGAAAAAAGTGGCTATCCAAGGGCAATCTCTTCATCTATTAAAATATGAATGGTTCGTTTTTTTTAAATTTCATCAAGTGATGTTTGATATAAAATTCCACCTACTGGTGTCCGTTGGAGCTACACAACGTTTGATAAAACATTTCGAAGATAACGTGGGGGCACTTAACACCAGTGACAGTGGCGATTGTGGATTTATTAGCTATCTTTGGTTTTATAATAAAGGAGTCTGCCGAATCATGCAGTTCAAACGAAGTTGATATTTAGCCCACGCGAATAATTTGATAATTGTAGTGGGCAGAATGGACAAAAGTACAAAATATCACAATCCAAGCCCTCGAATCAGAGCCAACGCCTTCGAAAAATTATTTTTTTGGTGAGTGTTTACTCAAATTCGATGAAGAATTTTCAAATCGCCTCTTTTATCAATTGTCAGGTGGCTGAAGCCTCTATTCATTTATGGGAAGAAAAACGACCTGGAGAGCAAAAATTTATACAATACTCTGTCATCAGACCTAAGTGAACCCCTTGGGGATATTTTGGAGGACAATTGGAAGAAGGAGATTATCGGAGCACGTCATGCAGGTAGGAAACCAAAATTCTTGAAGGCAATCAGAAAAACTTTCATGTGGTCGTACATGTATTACGGTGGTCTGTTATTTTGTAATTCAATATTGAGGTAAAATATTGACGTAAAAAATCTAATTTGGATTCGTATCTTTTTGATAACATCTCTGCAGTGTTTTACAGCCTTATGTCCTCGGTCTTCTGATCAGCTACTTCGCTCATGGCTCAACAATCACAACAGAAGAGGCGTATACGTACGCATCACTCCTCGTAATAATGTCAGCCGTTATAGCTTTGATTGATCATCATTCAAGCATGGGCCAATTAGAGATGGGAATGCGATTACGAATCGCGAGCTCTTCATTAGTTTATCGGAAGGTGATTCGATTACTCTTATGTAATGCTACATCCATTATTTATAATCAGTAGAATATTAATGCCTGTGATCTTATGATTGCTCTGATAGATCCTGAAGTTGTCCAAGGGATCAGCAAACAAAACCGCTGGGGGGCAGATAATTAACTTGTTATCTAATGATGTGGCGAGGTTCGATCAGGTATTTGCAATGCTACACTGTTTGTGGATAATTCCAATACAGAGTATAGCAATAGCGTATTTAATTTGGAAAAGTGTGGAAATAGCTACACTGGCTGGAATTTTCCTCCTTGTGATTCAAACAGTACCCGTCCAAGCCTATTTGAGTAGATTGACTGCTAAACTGCGAGCTAAAGTGGCGGTTCGTACTGATGAACGTGTGCGACTGATGAGTGAAATAATAACTGCGGTTCAGGTGATTAAAATGTACACGTGGGAGAAACCATTCCTACGGTTAGTCTCATTAGCTAGGAAACATGAAATCGATGTTCTCACTGTGATGGCATACTGGAGAGGAGCCTTACGAGCATCGATTGTCTTCACTGAACGCACAACATTATTTTTCACTGTGATGGCGTATGTGCTTTTAGGAAATACCATATCAGCTGCAAAGGTATTCTCTATGGCCCAGTATTTTAATCATCTGCAGGCTGGAGTAGTGTATTACGTCCCGATGGCTCTGATAAATGCATCAGAATCAACAGTCACGATAAAACGACTGGAAGATTTTCTGCTGCTCGATGACAATAAACCACTGGCTGTGGAGCAAACACCAGCTGGCGCGGCTTCAATAAAAATTGAACAGGCTACTGCGTCTTGGGATCATGCTTCAATAACCAGGACATTGAATAATATAAATACAACGATAAAATCGGGCATGCTGACTGCAGTGGTGGGTCGAGTTGGCGCAGGGAAGAGTTCTCTGTTGCAATTGATTCTTGGAGAGTTGGATTCAACTGCGGGGCAGGTGACAGTCGGTGGATCCGTGTCATATGCTAGCCAGGAGCCTTGGTTATTTGGAGGAAGTGTGAGGAATAATATACTCTTTGGACAGCCATATGATGAGTCGAGATATCGTGAGGTAGTGCGGGCTTGTGCATTAACCAGAGATTTCATACAACTTCCGCAAGGGGATAAAACGCTAGTGGGTGAGCGTGGCACGTCACTCAGCGGTGGACAACGTGCAAGAGTTAATCTCGCTCGAGCAGTTTATCGCAAGGCTGATATTTATCTTTTTGATGATCCCTTGTCAGCTGTGGACGCACATGTTGGACGAAGTTTATTTGAAGAGTGTTTTATGAAGTATTTAGCTGATAAAACGAGGGTTCTCGTCACTCATCACGTTCAGTACCTCAAGGATGTTGATTTCATTGTCATGTTAAATCATGGAATTATTGGGAAGCAGGGTAGCTTTAAAGAATTCGGACACGATGACTTCGCACTGTTGAATATTGATGCTGAGACTACGGATGAAGAAAAAAAGGAAGAGAATGGAGTGGCGGATTTGAAAGTGCCTCTAATCTCCCAAGTCTCTTATTTTTCTGAAGTTGATAAAGAGAAAGACGAGGAAGACGAGGAACCTGATGAGACGGAAGAGCTCATGGCCAAAGGAAAAATTTCAAGGGCACTATTTTGGAAATACTTCAAGTCCTCCGACAGTTATTTTCTCCTTTTTATGTTTCTCGTGCTCTTGATATTGGGACAGTTGGGAAGTAGTGGCTCAGATTTTTGGGTTGCTTTCTGGACAAATCAAGTGGAATTGCAACATACTGGAATCTTGCAGAATTATTCCTTAACCGACGAGACTCTTGATAGTGCTAATCGTGATAAACTCGAAAATGCTGGAATTGTTTTTATAAATTCAACTGCTCCCGAATCGAGTGGCGCTCATTACCATAATAATATGGCATTGTGGATCTATGGAATATTAATAGCGACATGCACCATTTGTACAACAGTTAGGAATTTAATTTTCTTCAGAATTTGCATGCATGCAGGCAAAAATATTCATAATCTCATGCTGGGATGCTTGCTGCAAGCACCAATGAAGTTTTTTGACAGTAATCCTTCAGGTACCCGACCAATTACCGTAAATATTATTGTTCAAGGTCAACCAGGTGTTCATAAAAATTTTATTAATGTTATTCCGCAGGACGTATAGTCAACCGATTTTCCAAGGATATTGGATGCGTGGATGAACTTCTCCCCAATGCCCTCATAGATTCCATTCAAGTATTTGCAGTGATGGTAGGAATATTATCTCAAGTGGTTATTATTAACTGGTGGACTATATTTCCGATGGGTGTGATGGGCTACTTCTATTTGAAAATAAGATCATTGTTCTTGGCCACGGCGCAGGACCTGAAACGACTGGAAGGAATCAGTAAAGAATTGCAATATGTTGAATGCTAATTATATTATTAATGTATGAATATTCTTGGGATGAAGTCCTCTGTTCGATAATTTTAGCAAAGAGTCCAGTGTTCTCCCATGTCAATGCATCTCTGGCTGGATTGGCGACCATTCGATCAGCTGGGGGCCAGGAAATGTTGCGGAAGGAGTTTGATAGCCACCAGGATGTTCACACCAGTGCCAACTCGTTATTGATTTCATCTAGTGCGGCCTTTGGGCTTTGGCTAGATATAGTGACTATCGTTTTTGTTGCTTTCGTTACTTACAGTTTCATCATTCTGAAAAATGGTACCTCAGCTATTTTTTTCGCCTCTAATCAAAGAAAACCCGTTGTTAATATCATAATGTACATCTAAAATATGTAGATACAACATCCGCTGGAGATGTTGGCCTGGCTATATCGCAAATTTTGATTCTGTGTGGTATGCTTCAATACGGAATGCGCCAGACTGCAGAAATGGTAGCTCAAATGACGTCAGTGGAGCGTGTACTACAATTCACTGAGTTGGATAAGGAGGGGCCTTTCGACAGCCAAGTTAATGCAAAGCCACCAGAGAAATGGCCGTGTGAAGGGCGAATTGAATTCGATCACGTTTATTTCAGATATTCGGATGAAGAAGGTCCTATCCTGAAGGACTTAAATATTATTATCGAACCTGGCATGAAGGTAACTCAAAATACCGTTAATAAATCACGAGAAAGAATACAAAAACGATAGCGATAAAAAAAGCCTCGTATACAAATCTCCTCTACATAAAAAATAACATATGTTTTAATATTCATGGATATTATTAGGTGGGAGTAGTGGGACGTACTGGAGCTGGTAAATCTTCCCTCATCGCCGCACTTTTTAATTTAGCGAAACTTGAAGGAGCCATTTACATCGATGCAATTGATACAAAGAAAATTGGCTTGCATGATTTAAGAAAGAAAATTTCCATAATACCGCAGGAACCAATGTTGTTTTCAGCGACACTCCGTGATAATTTGGATCCCTTCCATCAATTCAAGGATGATCAACTCTGGGCTGCCCTGGAAGATGTGGAGCTGAAAGGTTACAGTGAGTCTCTGGATTATTTAGTCACTCACGGGGGCGCCAATTTCAGCGCTGGCCAGCGACAACTGCTCTGTCTGGCCCGAGCTATCGTCAGGAATAATAAAATAATCGTATTGGATGAGGCAACTGCTAATGTTGATCCAGCGACTGATGCCCTTATACAGCGAACAATTCGCGATAAATTCAATGACTGCACAGTTCTGACGATAGCCCATAGACTCAATACCGTTATGGATAGCGACAGAATACTCGTGATGGATGAAGGTCAAGTTGTAGAATACGATTGTGCTCATAAACTCTTACAGAAAGAAGACAGTTACTTGAAGAGTATGGCTAATGAAACTGGCATAATCATGGCTGAGCGATTGAGAACAATTGCCAAAGAGGCGTATCGAAAGAGTCAAGCAAAATAATTTGAAATTTCTTTTTCAATCGTTCAAGTTCGATTATAACATTTAAATGAAAGAATGTACTGAATAATAAATACAAAAGAAAAAATAAACAGCTTTCCTGCTTGGAATGAAACAGTTATGACTAATTTAAATGTTAAATTAATAAATGTTTGCAAAAATTGATATTATCCTTCGTAATAATTTTTTGTGGCCCTGAAAAGGGCCGATTGTTATTGCTAAGCGATTTAAGAGCTGCTTTTCTCAGTTTTTTTCGGCAACAGAACAGCTTGAATGTTCGGAAGAACACCGCCTTGTGCAATCGTAACTCCAGACAACAGTTTATTTAATTCCTCGTCGTTACGAATAGCCAACTGCAAATGTCTCGGGATAATTCTAGTCTTCTTATTGTCACGAGCAGCATTGCCTGCCAACTCCAATACTTCAGCAGCGAGATACTCCATCACTGCTGCTAGATAGACAGGGGCTCCGGCGCCAACTCTTTCGGCATAATTTCCTTTGCGCAGGAGACGATGAATACGGCCCACTGGGAATTGTAGTCCAGCTCTGCTTGAGCGAGTCTTGGCCTTGCTCTTTACTTTTCCTCCTTTGCCACGTCCAGACATCGTAGAATTTCTGTTGTTTACTCGGCGAGAGTTAGAGGTGAAGTGTGCATAGGGCAGAACGTGCGCGAATTATATAGACTTCGGCGTGCGCAGCGCCGAGCCAATGGCAGTAGCGTCGGCTCTGATTGGCTCGGCGGTGCAAACGCCTGAGGGCTTAAGACAACGGCCGTTTGTTCCCCACGCGCATTCCCCTCCTGATCATCGTGCAGTGCAGAGGTCCAGTCGATACCGGCGGCATTAAGCCCTAGCAGTGAAGCAATGGAAAGATGACAAGGAGTAAAACGGCCTTTCAGAAGCATTCTGAAAGGCGTATTTTAGCAACGCCGCGGGCGATATTCTTCAAGAGAATAATTGCGAAGACTTTACAGTTGGCGCGTTACGTTTAGACGTTCTACACTCATCTTCCCAATACTAAGCAGCTGCTATTAGTCGTAAAAAGACTGGATTTTTCGACGATGCAGTTTTCGGCGGGGAGGGCGCACGAGGATTATATAAATACTGGGGCTTTGGAGGAGCTCGTCAGTTGCAATTCTGATCTCCAAGCGAACGGGTCCAGCCGAGAGGGGAAGGATCATCCACTAACGAAAATAGTGGGTGCTGATGGCTTTGAGGATAGTAACTTCATGAAGACTCTTTACTGTCTTCGGTTAAATCGCGGCTTTCGGGCCCAGCGGCGAACAATTTTGGATCGCGCGCCGATACACATTCTCTGACAAGTCTGGATTTATCATCCGAACCGAATGCAGCTGATGTCCTAATGTACCATACTCCCACTGATCCTTCCTTCCTGGATTCCAGAAAGTTTTTGCCATAGCGTGGTAGCGAAATTAACTGCAAGTTACGTCGGACGTTTTTTGACTCGAGGGGAAATGTGAGTTTACTTTTAGTTTAATTAATTGAACGGGGTGAAATAAACAAAGCAAGAGCTAAATAATTCTCTAAAACGAAGAACAATTCAATAATCGAATTAATTTTCATTTAAAATGAAATTTATCCAGCACGGTTACTTAGTTCAGAATTAGTTCAATTGTCGAAGAATATAATATTAGTGTTTAATGATTCCTAATTTAAAATATCTTGATAATTTAAATTAAAAGTAAAAGATAAATAATAAAAATATTGAAGAGATATAATAAAATAATTATAAATATAGTTCAAAATACAACTTAAAAGTAAAAGATAAATAATATAAATGGTAAAAATAATGAAGAGATAAAATAAATATTAATGCAATTAAAGGTACAACTTAAAAGTAAATTATGAGATAATAGTCGGTATTTGCACTTGAGGGTGCACTAACTGATCGATTGAGCACGGGCAGTGCAGTGTACCCTGAAATGTTGAATAACGTATACCACTCAGGCGTTTATTTTGTTCTTCACACGTGTGCTTGTGAAATTCACCCGAGTGAAAAATGAAATAAACTCCTAAAGTAATATATTATTAAATTAATGTGAATATCGTGCAGTGAAAGTGATGAACAATTGTGATAGTATTTCCTGCCATATCGATGTTTGTACTTGCAGCACCATCTCCAGGATAAATGGTGAGTCCTACCCTCAACAAATATATTAGTACCAACTGGCACTAGGATCGATCTTCATTCATTGGATAGACATTTATTATTTTTCAATGGATAACATTTGGCGGTTTCATTAGTAGATTCTCAATTATTCAGTACTCGGGATATTGACCATGAAAACTCGTAAATTATTAATAGGAAATAATGTTTATTATACAGTGTACATATTTATTAACTTCATTTATTTTATTTCTGTTATAAATTTTATATTAATAATTATATTATGCTTTGCCGAGCGACGAATGCCTTTATCAGTGTGCGCTTAGACTATAACAATCTCCGTAAAAAGTATAGAAACTTCTGTTTGTTAATGTATTTTTTTTTATTTATTTTCATTTCTTTGAAAGCGATCAATCAATTAATCATTGATCACCAAAGAATTTCCAAAATATGTCGCGCTGAAAACGGCAGAATCGTTCGGCACACAAATGAAATTTACTGTCGAAGTTGAAGTAATTGGCGCATTGTATCTTTTTTATCTCCATTTTCACTTTTAAATCGCTCAGTTTCATATCTCTTCCCTTCGCGTTTGGCTTTCACCCCATCTTAAATGAATTCCTCCGTTATCTTTCTCATCTCTCGCAACTCGCCGGCTCTGTTATCTTCGAAAAAAGTGGCGTATATTCCCTATGTTCGCATCACACTTGGACGCATATATAGATTAGTTAATCCCTTGACAAAAATTTTTTTCTCATCCTCATTTTCTCCCTACAAATACTCGACCCTAGGGTTAGTATCAGTTTATTCTTTATTTTCATATAATATGTATAATAATAGAAATAATGTCGTTAATATATCTATAATGATTACCGTTTTTTCATTTTTTTTTCTTCTTTTTAATGATAAAACTATCCGAATGGTACATTCGCTCCTAGTGGCCATGTTCGTACTAACTAATTGTAAGTGATTCTCCTCATCGTCTTTAATAATTAATTCATTTCCCATCATTTCACTTCATATTCGTTTCTTTATTCCTCATGTAGTCTGTATGCGAGTTAAATAATTAATTCTTTTGGTTTTGAGTGTGGAATAAGGTACGTCGTACATAGAATACTTCTCGTCTCAGCGTTCACAAAAAAGCTTACCGAAATTGGGATGCGATTGCGCTCACACGAACGTACGAACATTGCACGTTTTCATCTTGCCCATACTCATAGCCATTTACTCACTTGATTTCTTTTCGATATTTTTCCCGTAATTCACACGTCAACTCTTGGTTCTGCAAACTAGAAATAACTATTGCCACCTGATTTTTTCGCGAACGGCTGATTGTAAAAAAGGAAATAGAAAATATGGAAATTAATAGGAAAATTGCAACGATCACGTCGCGTGCTCCGCCCGTACGTCCTTTTCCCCTTTTAACGATTTACTTTCAATGTTTGACGTTTGTGAACGAGTCTCTCGTTCGTGTGTGTTTTTTTTTTTTAATAATTTTATTTCCTGCTGTCGCCCAAAGTGACGACAAGCGTAATGTGCTTTCGTTTTCTTTATTACTGAAAAAATGACGATTCATAAGGCGCGAAGAAAGTAAAATTTAACCGGGGAGAGATCAAACGCTTTGCCAACCCCCAATTGATTCTTCAATATTTTTTTTACCGTTGGAAATGATTTTCTATTTCTCCGCAATCTCGGTCTAATTCTGAATCAACTGATACTTCATCCCACTAGTTGAAATAATAATCACATGAAAAATCTCTTTTATTATGTTAAGAATTGTTATCTAGCCTGCTAACGTAAGTGTTTGAGTGATAATTACTGCAATTATTTACTCATTGTTTAGCATATTACTGTGTATTTTCCCCTTATTAGTTTTTTTTCATCGTGTATTGATTATATCAATAGTAATAAATCTACCTAATTACTTCATTTTTTCATTAAATATAATTGCAATAATAGGGGGAGGGGGAGGGGGCATTTTCCATCGTAAATCCACGCAAAAATTCGGAGATATAACATCGTATTGTCGCACAACGCACTTTCAACCGTATTCATTGCAATTATATAGCTTTAAACAATAAATTCGAAAGTAAAATAGTTACTTAGTCTAGTCGAAACTTAGTCGAAAGATTTGATTTTAATTGATCGCTATACCTCAGCCTCGTGCCTCATTTTTTTTCTTAAAAAATTGAAGAAGTAAAAATTGAATTGTAGACTCAGAATTTTTACATCGACGAGAATAATTGAAACCATAAAACGTGAGAGATGAAATTTTACGCGAGGATAAAAATTCGTAACTTCGCGTTTTACAATTTCACTATGAATATCTCGACTTCCTTTGTTCAATTTCATGGCACTAGATCCTGTAAAGCATCAAATTATTTTAAAAAATTAAATTAAACTGACAAGAATGACCCCACGGATCCACCGAATTTTGAAAATTATTTTCCATCGAATTCTGTCTTGAATGTATTCAATCGGTTCATCCACTCATGCATTTATTTATTTATTCATTTATTCATTTATTTATTCATTTATTTATTTATTCAATTATTTATATCATTCTGTGTGTGCCTCCCTAAGCTCAACACACTGATATGCTAAGACCTCATCTTTCACTCACTCATTTGCACTAGTGATCTATTGTGTACAGTTATTTACCTTCATTTTTCATTCAATTGCTTCATATTACATCGTTATCTCTGTGTTTCACTTCTAGGACTTTAAAATCCTCTAAAGATTGTGACGTCCTTCAATCCTTCCGTCCTGGCCCATAATTTTCCTATTTTCCGATTACAATATAATTCTATAATTTATAATGACAGTAGTGGTAATTAAACTGCTCAAGATGACAGTCAAATGATGGTTAATTAATTATGATTAATTCTTTATCCGTTCATAGAACTATTGTATCTTCTTCTATCACTCACATGCTTTCATTATTACAATCCGTGAAATTTTTTGACATCGAGTTTCGACATCCAGTCCTTTACTGATTATGTAAAAATATACAGATTGGGAATGGATGAGTCCTTAGACTATTAAAAAAATCTACCACCCATCGGTTCTTTCGGCGTTTCTCATTCCTTTTTATTGAATACTTCAAATTGTCAATATTGCAATGAGAAATTGATAAAGAATGTACAGCATTATGAATAGAAATTAAAGCCAGGGTATATCAGCTCGTTATAATTATCTTAATACTGCTCATCAGATCGTACGAAAAATCAAACAATAAAATAATAAAAAATAAGCGTATATAATTGATTCTGGACTAGATTTATCTGGGCGAAACTAGACTCGAGTCTATGCGTAAGGATCACAGATTTTTTCCAGCATTTTAGTTGTCGGCCAGTTGAGAAAACTAAAACCTCTCGTCATTCTAATTTTTTAAATATCGTTTTTAATATTGATAATTTTGGGGAGATGTATTTCGCGTACATGAGCCGACAAAATCCACCTGTTGATCAACTGTTGCGTTTGTTGAGAGTCATGCGCACATATAA